ACAAGAGCCTTGTGGACAGGGCTCATGGGTTAAAGCCGTTAGTCTAATTGTCCTTTTTGCAAAACCCAAAGCCCAAATCATGCGTTTGACCCAGGTGAAAATGTGAAGATTTACTCATCCATCCATTCATTCATTCATATTTATAAAACCGTGTTGTTCTCGTGAGCAATTTCACGTTAAAAGATGAGGTTCGTTACCCTGAGATTCACGTGGACGAGGTGCGTTATGAAGGAATACCTCGGAGAAAAATTCGTTCATCGGGCGTAATATAGCTAAGTCGGGGTAGCTACGGCGAGGGTATGGCGTTGTTGCGACTAGCGAGAGATGAAATTCGTGGGTGGAAGTTTCGAAGGGCAGGTTCAAAAATAGACAAGACGCATTTCCCATGTTGTTTTTTTACCACTTCGCCAACGCCTTTGACTCGAAGGCACGTCTAACGCACAATTGCTCGACCTAATTTCCAGCGTGAGGCGGCGCAAACTAGGGCATTTTACCTCGAAACCTGGCCAAACCCATCAAATACCTGGAACTGAAAGGGGCATATGTAATTCTCAGTCACCAATCACTTCTTTTTATTTTATTCGTTCTTCTTCTCCAAATTCTGTAAGACAACCGATACTTGAAAGGGTGCGAGCTTAAATGACTGTTCCTCGTATTTTCTTTTTAACCTGTTTCCTCATTTATCGATCGTTACATTGTTTTTCATCGAAAATTTTAGGAAATTCTCATGAAATCTCTAAGAAAATTATTTAAAAAAATATTTAACAGTCCCTGAGTAAATCAACATAAATAAATGAAACTTCGCAATCAATTAAGCCCCTACTGCAATCACCTCTTTATTATTGAAGTTCATGTATAATCTATTTTTTTCGACAATCCTATAAAATAGATGCTTAGTTTTAATATTTACGTACGTCTGAATTGATTTCAAAGAATCGAAAATTATTGTAAATCTACCATTAAAAGTGACAAACGTAGCATATGATGTCATAAGTCTGGATGCAACTACTCGTACTTAATGGATGGCCAAATTGTATATGTTAAAGTTGAAGGCCCTCTATAATTTTTCGACTTTCCAGCTCGCAGCATGTATGCGCGGGTTCAAATGCAAATCATTATTCTGGCCTCTCCAGACAACGCGCCCACTTCTATCTTATAAAATAACCAACGATGGCTTGCATTTCCATTCGTTTGCATATGGGATCAGGAGGGTTGAAATTTGAATAGACGAATCGATGAAATATTCAAGCGGAGTGCAATGGTAATACGAGTGGTAATGTTTTATTTAGCTCAGCTCTCAGTTGTCTGAAGATCCTTTCTCTGACTTTTTGTTTTCAAAATTAACCCAGCATCACTCTAACGTTGCGCTGATAGCCAGCACTGCCAGTATGTTACCGAAGAGAACAGTTAAAGGCAGACATGAAGTTTGCGGAAAATGAGTAGCGTCTGAATGGAAAATCTTCTGGACTGAATCCTCCATTTCTCGTGAAATTGTCAATGATTATTGAAGATACTTTTAGAGATTGTTCGAATTATTGAAAATCAACAATTTTATCATTATAACTGTCAGAGGTTTTCGTCCATTTCATGAGAGACAAGACAGTAGTGCAACCTATTTTCTGGAGACTTGCATGGTTACATTTTGGGCAAGCCACATATAAATTTGAATGTTAATAGGTAATGTTATAATCTGAAAATTCGAAGTCCTCCCAGATGCAGAAAAGGGTGCAATTCCACCCAAGACAGCAGTACGAACAGCTCTTTCACGGAGTGTAGTATTGGCTTATTGCTGTTTTGTCTAAAACGACGTAAATTTTTGCGCAGTTACTGCTTTCTCATAACTCTCGTCTATTAGGTACGAGTGAAAATTACGACAGTTAATTGGACATGTCCATATCATCCAACAAATTGGGATAGTGACACAATTTTAGGGTATAACCCTACAACACTTTTGTTTTCTCACCCCGGCTTTTTTTCCGTAATCCAACCCTCATTTTCGGTGTTTTTATGGTGCTCTGTTAAATGTCTCCTCCAAACCTCCCTTGGTAGGGGGAAAAAAAAGATAGAAAACAAAACCGCAGGGGGTTTTCCTAAGGAATAGGGCTGATTAAAAAAGTACGACTATAAATACGTCTTTGATCGAGTTTCATGACGCATGACGAACGGTGACTTTGCGATATATCGATTGATCTGCCATTTAAACCCATGGGAAAGGATCGATAATTAGAGTGTTCGCAACGATCACCTAAATAATCAATTCTTTACCAGATGCACTGGAAAAAAAACACATTGGATTCAGAGTCCAGACCCTTGAAAACATTGACAAGAAAAAAATACTCTTGATTCAAGCGGATTTTTGCTTGAATCAAAACAAAATCCGCTTAAATTAAGAGGCTTGGCTCTTGATTTAAGCTAGATTCTGATTGAATCAAGAGTATTTTTTCTTGTCGATGTTTTTAAGAGTCTAGATTCTAGATCCAATATGTTTTTTTTTTCCAGTGCAGCTTCAAATGGGGAAATATGAGTGGCGATCATTGACGCCTCGCCACTGATGACGGAAAGAATCCACGCAAGGTTTGGATGTACTTTTGGCCGGTTGTGGAGATGAGCGACAGCAGTGTGCGCCGCGCTGTGTTGAGGCTTGCGTTGCGCGCATCACCCGAGCAATTCGAGTGTGAAGATATGAGTTGGAGCGGCGCGATAGTTGGCTTCCGCATTGTGCTATGCAGCCTGCTTTGTTAGCGGTGATAATGGACTCGGATTCGTGCATTAGAGCCGGGCTTATTTTGTCCGAGCATATCCGTTTAATGCTTTCCGTTCCGTTAAATCAGGCCAGAGTCTCGAGCCGCAGAAACCTCTCGCCCAACTTCCGATCCCCTTCCGTTCTCAAAACACGGGACAGGCACGTAGCCAGGGGGGGGGGGGNGGGGGGGGGGGGGCTTGGGGGCTCAAACCCAACCCCCCTCCCCCCCGAAAGCAAAAAAAGAAAGAAGAGAAGTTGTCATTAAACTAAAAGTATCACAAATTGTTTCAATACGACGAAGTTGTACAGAGCTTTTACCAAGCATCCCTGAACTGTCACTCAAAAAACAAGTATGGGAAGAGTGACTTACCGGCCGAGTTATGGATCATAGAGCCATAAAATATAGTTCGTGGAGCCATGCTTATAGGTTCACGACCAATAAAGTATGGCTCAGAAAGCCATACTGTAGACGGTAAGTCACTTTGGTTAGAAATTATGGATCTCCGAGCCATTTTTTATGGGTCTCACAGTCATACCTTTTTTTGAGTATAGTAAAATATCAGTTTGGATCAATTAGGTAACCAGCAACCTAATGTGGCGACAGGAGGAACAAAGAAGAATCCTCCATTGACCTCATAGCGCCCGGTGGAAACTTTTACTTTTTGGAAATTCACCCTTTCCTTAAGTATCTTATGGAAGATTATAAGGGACAGGCATCACCCTTTGTTCGGCTGTTGACCTACCTACACACTATAGGTGGATGAGCTTCAGGGAACGCAATGAGTCAAAAAAGTTTGATTGGCTTCGGTTCGTTTGCAAAACGAAATCCTTTACACATAGTTCAATATCCGCCAAATTGTAGAATCGAAAGTAAAAGCTCAACTAATTAATCAACGTCATCGTGAAGAGTATCGTAACTTACGGGAGTGAGGTCTGGCAACTTAAGAAAAGAACTGAAGACATGCTTAGGGCAACCGAGATGGACTTTTGGCGAAGGTCTGCTGGGATATCGAGAAGAGAGCGTATCCGCAATGAAAGGGTACGCGAGATAATGGGTGTGGAAAAGGACATCGTGCACGATATCAGGTCCAAGCAGTTGGTCTGGTATGGACATGTGCGAAGGATGGCAGATGATCGGTTGCCCAAGCAGGTCTTCGATTGGGTTCCTCCCGGAAGGCGACGGCGTGGACGTCCTGTAAAAGGTTGGCGACAAGGGGTGGAGGAGGAGATCAGAAGGTGCCAATTGCCTGATGATCTCTGGGAGGATAGGGGGCAATGGCGATTGGGCGTCGCAGAGCGCGAGGCGGCGCTATAATCGCGACTTTATGTATGTATGTATGAAAGTAAAAGCTTCCACCACTACCAAGATAGCAATGGAGGATCCCTCATTGCCTCTGGGCGGCAGGTGCAGCGCAACCTTGCGCCAGCCAATAGCGACGCCGCTCGGCGCCGCCGCTTCTCATTGGCTCTCGCATCACCGACCGGGCCCCACATGGCGGACCGCTCCTTGGCCTATAGCCCATTGGATCACTGCATGCCACTGGCCACATCAAATCGCTCAGCCCTTCTCATCCGCCATCGTCACTGCGTTTTCTCGCCAGCGACGAGACAACATTAATAAAAACTAATTAAAACTTAAAATATTCAAAAATTAAAATAGATAAACGATTGAAATAAAAGTATAAATTAATAATAAGTAAATATTTTAATCTTTTACCTCTCGCATGAGGGTCAACTAAAACTGTAATAAATTTAAAATATCGAAATTTATCATTGGCCATATATTTAAATATTGTTAGCATTTTAGAATTAAAATAAATGAATATTTTTAGATTTTATATAAAATCATGTTTCAAATATCTAGTCATTAGATGAATTGATTTAATCAACACAATTTTACTCCGAACGCAACTGACCCATCGGTAGAACTTCACTAAGCGACGGATTTTACCTCTCCTCACCCATAGTCTCCCACCGGTCGCTCAGTAAAGTTCTACCGATGGGTAAACTAAAACTGAAATAAATTTAAAATCTCGAAATTTATCAATAGACAAATATTCTAGATTTTAAATTTATTTCAGTTTTAGTTGACCCATCGGTAGAACTTCACTAAGCGACGGATATTACTTAGTCTCGACAAATGTCAAAAAGGACAGTAGTCTGAACATCAAGTTTGGGAGTCACACATGTCTTTTCATGCCATCAGTTATACTGTAGACGACGAAGATTCTTCATATTGTATTCTTTTGTGTTTCAGGGGCTTTTCTTATTCCGTACCTGATCATGCTGGCCCTGGCAGGGAAGCCTATGTACTTTCTGGAACTTGCGGTGGGGCAGTTTGGCGGTGTTGGCCCTTTGGCACTGTGGAACTGTTGTCCGATGGCAAAAGGTAATAAGAAATTGTGTTGGCCACAGTTAAATGGTAAAAGTGATCTAATAAGATTAAGAGGAAAAGCAGTGGAAAACCAAAAACTGGAAATTAGCCCATGAGGTCGGGACTCTTTGAATATTAGACTTTGAATTTCACCCAACTATTAGTTATAGGACGTAGGAGTACGCAAAATTATGTGGTATCTTGTGTGGTGATTTCTTGAAGATATATTTCACCCCGATCTCTTCACGCTCACGCTATCCCCCTCCCTAGCATCCCCCTCCAATACCATTTAGCCCTCTTCTCGCACTTTGACCATGACAGCTTGTGGTTTATTGCGTCAGTCGTAAAGCATCCTATATTCCTAAGCCGCGTGTGACATTTGCTCAATAATTAGTCTCCAATCCTCTCCACTGTCACAAAGTGTCCGTGAAATTCTGAAAATTCTACCAAAAGAGACCGAGAGACTATAGGGATCAAATGACACTTTGTGTAAGCGTTGCAGCTGAGTAGACGTCAGCGAAACGTGTCCGCCTATAATCATCTTTTTACGTTGCCCCTTAAATATCCCCCGTTTGTTTTCAGGCCTCAATTTTTCGAAATTTTTTGGACACATCCAGTTCCTGATTTTAGGTTAGTCATGAGTGTCAGATATTGAGTTAGAAATCAATCGTATTTTTTTTTTTTTTTTTTTTTTTTTTTTTTTTTTTTTGTCTGAGGACAAGGGACGTTCAAAACGTCCGCGTAATTTGGCAATTTTGATTGTACTGCAGCGTAAGGAATTACACTAACTTTCAACAGGATTGTTGATCTTCCGGACCGTTTCAGGATTATAGCTCTAACGTTATTCTAGTGAAAATACTTCTGAATAGACTCTCAATTTCGTTATTCAGCAGCACTGATATTTTGGTATTAGTGAAGGGGCTTTGAGAGTGTAATTTAAGGGAAAAATGTACACACTATCTGAAGTTGAGATACTGATTGCGATGCCCTTAGAGTTAGCTATGGTCAGGGATCAGATGGGGGATAAAAATGAAACTGGAAAGTGCAGGAATTTATGCAAAAATAATTGAGTGTGCTACGTATCTTCCCCACAGGTCGTGAAACCCAGCATGGTTTTACTACAATATCTTTTGCAATTTATCCTTAGATTATGGCGCACCAGGTTATCCATAATTTGAAGTTTTTACAGGAGGGAGGACTCTAACCTTACCCAACGCAACGAGATCCCATTTACATTAAACCCAATTACCCAACTCCACCTAATCTAACTTTATCCAAGATACTCTAAAAATCTAAAATTCTGAGGATTTATTGCATTTTATTAGTGTGCGAGATGCTTTAACGTATCAGTATGGTGTGCCTGGAATATTTTTCAAAGATAAGTTTGGATAAAATCAGCACGTAACGAAGTATCTTATTTCATGAATAATAAATGCATATGCACGTATTAATTGAAATCGCCTGGTTTTTTTGCTCATATATCCCGCAGCTCGCCCTCAGATCCGACCAATGGCAGCCCATGACGTACTAAGGCCGTTCAAGTTTGATTAATTTAAATTTTTCTTCCGTTTTGATATCCCAAATCCGGCTAATCGCCCTTTATCCGGGTTAATCTGAGCTAATACGCTCTCATGAGTGGGTATCTGCCTCAAGTCTAAAGTTTTAATTAATATAATTATCTCAATTTTAATTTCCCGCCAAGAGGAGATAAATAAGGGTTATACTCGATGGCGTCGGTTTGCGTTAAAAAAAAGTCGCTTGAGACCTTGTAAAGGTGATGAGATCTACTGAAAACTATGGCAACACTGCCAAAAGAGGAAAGCAGTGCAACCTCGACTGCCGCTTGAATCTAACTTTTAGTTTTTAACTTTTTCAACTTACTTTCGTCGGGGTTTTTATTTTTGCTTTTTCTTGGCCGCTCTAGCTTCGTTAACTTTGAAGTTTTCCTTCCTTGGTACGAGATACAACGCTGTTTCGGGGTGCAAACAATCTTGCCCGTTTGATACTTTCTTCACAACTAAAAGCAGGGGCTGAAATTCCAGCCAACGGGATCGATTATATTCTTAGTTCTTTAGTTACGCCAAAGCAACACGATAGTGATGAATTTGCGGGGCCACATAGACGATTTTAATTGGAGTGAGTGATATTTTTGGTGTTAGCCATGAACTCTCCCCTGGATTTTACCTCTGACTCGAGCAGAACTTCTATCCAAGAAGGGTCCGTGTCTGTCTTCAGCCAAAAATTGGGGTCTGAATACGAACTGATTCGAGCCCCGCTTGGGCTGAAATTCGAAGGTACTCCTTAGAATGTGTTTTTCTTAGGCTGTAACTTCAGCTTAGAGGAAAATCAAGTCAATAAGTCCCAAGGATTGTTCATTTTGATTTTTAATAAATTTTTTCCGAGTCATAAAAATTAACTGTACAGAAACGTTAAGTAGAGAACAAAAAAGGGAAACGATCTACCAAAGTAAGAGCATATTTTTATTTTAAAAGAATATTAAATACAGTCTTTATTTTTAAATCCAGTACGTTCGGGAATAATGAGGGAATTGTCAAAAAATATCGCACAATTTTTAATCGTTTCAAGATTGAATTAACGTTTAAAGATAAAAATCATGTATAATCAATTTCCGTTTTTTCCGTTCGTTCTGTTCCAAATTACCATCAACTTAAAATTGAGGATATATTATGCAGATCAATGTCAGAAAATAATGTATACCAATAATTGTCTCAACCGTTCACGTTAAATCACTCTCTCGAAAAATGTACAAAGAACTAATGATTACCTCTCAATACTGCGATAATACATCCAAATGTTGTCTCTGGAGAGATTATTAGAGGAGAAATCTTTTTCCACTACACAAGTGCGCTATTCTCAATATACACAACTTTATACAAACAGGCTTAGGAAACTGAAGTTACGTTCTACTCCGTCGTGGCGCACCGACGTTCCGACGGTCTAATACAGCTTACATGCTAAGATGTTGAGATTAGCCTCTTGGGAGAAGTGAAGCTATCCATGCCAAGAGCAGAGTAGCAGGTGCAGAATTTCCGGTCCAATTATCTCTTTGATTGTCTCCAGAAAAAGTAATTCCAGTAGCATAGGCAACACTGCTAGGTAGCGTTTGTCAAACCCTTCAGATTTTGTCGATTGAATTAACGATCCGTTGTGATTGGAGGTAACTTCATTTCGCAACTTTACTTCGGTCCTTGGACATGGGTTTAGTTATTGTGCTCGTGTCGCCTCACCACCAAAGCTCAACAACCTACTCACCATTGTTGTCAAATTTATAAGATATTTCTCCATATAAGGAAAGCCACGAAAACGATGATTTGAATCAATGTTCGAAACTCACAGGCGCCAACGCGCCAAATTCGCCTAAAAAATCGGCCATGGCGCCTAAAAAATGAAGGCTCTGCGCCAACATAGCCCCTAAAATTCTGAATTTTCATATCAGGTGATTATTCGACATTTTCAGCACTACAAGTGAACGTTTTTTCTATTCTTCACGATTTTATTATTTGTGCTTTTGTCTTCCCCCAGTTACAGCTACTTACTAGCTCTATGTTACGAAAACATGTTGCATCTAATTTTTCACTGAATGCGCCGTAGTACATATATATAGAGGCAAAAAGTCAATATGGCCCTTAAAAAATCTTCAATGGCGCCTAAAAATCGGGCTTGATGCGCCACTTGGCTCCTAAAACTCAAAGGTGAGTTTCGAACACTGATTTGAATGTTACCTGTAAATATTCAAAGTATAAAAGTTTACAACTATAGAAAAATGTAAGAATGTACGCAAGAATTTTTATGATAGCGAATACTTTTAAAGTGTTCGATTTTTTCGATTTTTGAAGAAATGAAGGACGACTGTGAAAATTGGCAACTCCGTTGACCAGTCTCCTGTGTGGGATCACGGAATCATCCCTCCTCACACGAATATTTGATAACTCACCTCCAATCTGGCAAAGAGAGGTGGACCTTGATTGGTATTCAAAAGGTATCTCCTCTCAGTTTATACAGTTCCCGTATATGAGGGGAAATATCGGGAATCCCTGTTGATAAAGGGAGCGGAGGGAGTTGTATAGTATCGACGGCCCCAAAATGCTCCGAACTTTTGCCGAGTGAGGATCCAATACCTCAGGGTACAATTTGGAAGTAAATAGGGAGAAATCAATCCAGTCACCGTCCCCTTCATGTCATCAGGGTGCTGCTTGGAAAGTCTTTTTCTGTATGCAGTGTAAAACAGAAACTTTATTATCATCCTTGCTATAAACAAAGAGAGAAAATACACACCGAAAAAAAAACAAACACATTGGTTCTAGAGTCCAGACTCTTGAAAACATTGACAAGAAAAAGCACTCTTGATTCAATCAGATTTAAGCTTAAATCAAAAGGAAATCCACTCAAATTAAGAGGCTTGGTTCTTGATTTAAGCTTAGATCTGATTGAATCAAGAGTATTTTTTCTTGTCGATGTTTTTATGGGTCTGGACTCTAGATCCAATGTGGTTTTTTTTCCAGTGCATGTTGAACATCATACTTCTCAAAGAAACTTAAGGAGGATGACAAACTTGTTTCTCCTACAGATCCGAAAAATTGATCACTATATAACATGGAAAATGAAGCTTTACAATTTTTTCACCAGCAAAACTCGCGCAGTTGATTTTTTTTTTTTTTTTTTTTTTTTTTTTTTTTTCTAAACGGAAATTAACATATGAAAAAGAACATTTTACAGGAGATTTTACTTTTTGGATGACCCTAAGTGCATTTCTTTTTTAATTCTCGCACTTTGCTGCACTCGTTCAGATAAAAAGTGTGCTAATCAATTTATATTATTTCATATGTTTGAACAGGTGTTGGAGTGGCCATGGTGACAGTATCTTTAATCGTGTGCATTTACTACAACGTTATAATGAGCTACACGATTCACTACATGATAGCTTCTTTTAGCTCCGAAGTGCCTTGGAGTAAGTGCGACCCCGCTTGGGCCGACATGCACTCATGCTACGTCAGGGGCTCCAATCAGGTAAGAATCGAAATTTTTCCCGATAAAAGTTTTTCTACATAGAAAAATAAGTGCTTTAAAGGCTGCATGCATAATTTTGTGAAAGAGGGCCGACCTATTTCTATTAATGAATTCATCCTAGCTATTACTAATGTTTTTATAGCTGTTTTTTGTTTAATGAATTCATCCTAGCTATCACTATTGTTTTTATGGCTGTTTTTTGTTTATTTTTGTTTATTTTTTTTTTTTTTTTTACTGTGGGAGAGGAAATGCCTCCGGAATAAGTACTGCTGGCTGGTCACTGGCCAAAGGTAGCAATACACTCTAACTTCTTTGGAAATTAAAAACCTAAAATAAAATTAGAACACGGAACAAACCAAATAATTTAAATGACAAATTGAAAAACCAAGAAAATGATTCCATCCGATGATAATCTTTTTTTAGAACGATTTATGATAGACAAAAAATATGCAAAATAACTTGATATACAGCAGGTAACCGGCTGACATCCCCTATAGGGTGAAGCAATTTACTTAAGTTAGGTTCCAACCTAGGAATACAAATATTTCGACTTCGGTGTGTTGCACAGTATCACGCGCATTTGAAGGCGTTTTATATTGGTCCGACAGCGGCCTACGGAGAGTAGAGTCTTGAATTCTTCACGTCTTGGCTTTGAGTGCTGTTTGCACTGTCTACGTCGAATGAAAAATTATGCCTAATTTTCAAATGATAAAAATTATGAGTAGATCGCAGGATGTGTAACGTCTAATGTCTGTAAAAAATCAAGAAACTCTCAAGAATTACCGACATTTTCTAGTCCTCTTTTAACTCTAATTATTGTGTGAAGAATTTAACTTCAGTTTTGTCCAGATAGGTATCGGGGGAGATAGAATAACCTTTGCCATTTTTGGGAATAGCGTTTTGCCATTTTTGGGAATAGCGTTTGGGAATAGCGTGCCTTCCGATTTATCGATTTATCTGCCATTTAAACCTATGGAAAAAGCTCGATAAATAGAGTTTTCGCAACGAACACCTTTCTAATCGATTCTTAACCATTTCTTCAAATGAGTAAATATCGATACATCGCAAAGCACGCCACGCCGCATTCATATTAAAAAATTAGTAGAACCAATGACTTTTTAGTTCCTATTTTTGGAAAATCAATTTTATGTCAACAAATCCGGTCATATTTCTCATAATTTTCTTTGTTGAAAATTCCACATTCATTCAACATTCTCTCCTGGCTTTTAAAATCGATGAGTTTATAATTCAATCTGACATTACTTGAGGGTTTCTCGGCAGTCACTACGATCAGCGCGATATTAGAGGGGCGCGAAATTCACGCTACCGCAAGCTTTATTTCAGGAGCATGCCATTATTCTTTTAAACCGTATTTTTTTTTAGACCTCAACAGTGAGGCATATTGATCTGGATAAAAATAATACAAAAGCGGACTGTTTCCATCGCGATCACACTAGAATGCCAACGGTTCCCTTAAAAATTGAGTTCTGCGTGAAACCAACATCAAAGGGACTAAATTTACATCCTTTTACTAAAATACCTACGGGCTGGAGACAAGGAGACAAGGTGAAGGTATTTTTTACAAGAGCTATCAAACTCCGAAAATAAATAATTTAATGAAAACGTCGAGACTTGAAAGTACATAAAAATAGCACGTGCAGACGGATGGAGTAAATTGTATATGGGGCGACGGCGACGCTTTCTATAACAATCCTCAAAGAAGGAATAAAAGCTCAGAAAAGTTAGATGCTCTGTTTTATTTCTTATGACCGCTCGTCTTTCCCATAGTATTCACTCACTTTTCCGTCATCTCATCAGATCAAACTTCCAACTCTAGTGTTCAACCAATCCATAGTTGTAGACATAAATTCTACCTTTTTTAAAACCATTCTTAAATGTGAAAGGAAAACGTTAAACTGAAAAAGTATTTCTTTTTCTTTTTTCTCATCTAAAAAAAATATGATATTTTTTCTCTCATTACGTCCATGTAAATCACTATGATAAGACTACATCCTGAACCATTTAAAGGTTAATGATGCTCACAGGAGGGTCCACAAACTATTCGTCCACAAAATGTTGTTCCATGAAATTTTTGGTCCGGTGAAAAAAGTAGCACATTACAATAGCATTTTCAAAGATGCCCACTGAAGGAAGTTAGCTCAGTGATTGTTTTCTTCGAGTAAAATTCGTTGAATGTAAATAGCTAGGTTTTTCCTCTTGGTCAAAAACCGGTGACATCACTTGCGGGAGTTTTCCACCAGGTGCTTTTGAAGAGGGTAGAAAATATTTTCATCATACATTTTCGCACCAATTCGAATCAGTTGTCAAGGCAACACTGTCAGTTTAAAACTGTCCATCTATTGTAAATATTTCCCCTATAATAAGCTTCCACGGTGATATGAGTCGTACACTTACTTATCAGCCTCCGGTACTTTGACAACAGAATTGCGAAATGAGAACCAACGATGTTGTCAAGGGCCAGCATTCTGAATTCCAGCGGAAAGTGCAGTCGTATCATCCAAATATGTGTATATTGCTTGCATTTCTCCGAAAGAACACATCAAAATAGTAATATGCTGGTGAATTGTCCTGAAATCCAGAAGAGAGTACCTAACAAATATGGGGGATTTCTCTGATTTCATGGCAACTATGTTTGATGCATAAATTACTTATCCGCATCCATGCTTTTCATTCTTCCGAGTTCTATACGAACTTTCCCCGGTTTTTTAATGTTCTCTTCTCCCCCTCTCTTCTCCATCGCATGGAACGTTTTAAAAGACCATTAACTAAAGATACGCGCAAAACTTGGCAGATTTTTCGAATGATATCTATTTTAACCGAATTTTTCCAGTCTAGGCACCGAATTGCACACTGTGATAGATCTGTGTTCCGTGATAGTTGATAAAATACAAAGTATTCGAAGTTCAGCCGACTTGAACCCCCATCTCCAGGCAATTGCATTTCCCGTTCTCCTGCAACAAATTAAGGGGCTTTAATCAAAATTCATTCGCAACAAAGGCTATACTAAACCGCGTTGAATGGTTAAATAGACACGGTAAACGAAATAAGAGGAGAAGGAACAGAAGAAGGAAGGCGGAAGGATTCCATTCTGCGGGAGTGGGACTTATTTTATTGTGTACGAGTCCAAAATACGGTTGCACTTACAATACTTTATCTTTGGAAAAATAGTGTTGCAAGATGCTCTGTTATGATTAAGGATGTCTCGTAAATCCCATGAAAATTCGAAGAATAGGCAAAATCTGATGACGTTATCGTTTTGTAACAGAACGCAAAATAAAAGCTTGATGGAAACGTACATCGCACATTTTTTTATCTTGTCAAGAGCTTGCTCTCAGAAACATTTGTCACTCTTGCCTTTTTTCTCTCCTCGCGGTCTGCTTACTCTTCCTCTGGTCTTCCGCCTTGCTCACAACTTTCCAGCAAACTCTAAATTGGATTCGATATTCTCGTTTTCTTAAGAGGCTTGTAAGTCGTCGAGAAAGAGTAAGCTAAAGAAACGCAAGTAACTACTCGTAATAAACTTAGCAAAATTCTTAACATGATAACTACAAAACCGGATGCATAATTACGAACGGAACTTTAGTCATTAAATTTCCGAGAGGTCGAGAATCTAGTGAAAATACTAATATTCTTTTTTACTTGAGATCAGCGATGATCTGGATGGATTATGATTTTTTTTTCTTAGAATTATTTCTAGAAAACATGTCAAAATATATTTTAGATTAAAGGAATGCGAGGAAAGTTCACAAAATCTTAATTCATTCGGGGAAATAAATGCATTTTTGGAAAGAGCGCCCTATTTCGTCTTTAATAAAGCGTTTATGAATATTGTTACTTGTCTTTGTAGAGTGAGAAAGAAACAAGTCACGTTTCGAGGAAAAAATGAGCCAGGAAAGGTATTGAACTCAATGAGTCGACGACCGTATACATCTATCATATTATATGGACTGCATTTTGCAATTTAAAACTATAAATTCTGGCTCCTCTGGAAAAACACTTACGTACATAGGGAAACTAATGACACAAACGTTGTTTTGAAACAGGGCTAGAATTTATAGTTCCAAATTGCAAAATGTAGTTCATATTATACTCTATGATATAAAATCATAAGAGTAACGCATAACAACTGAAGCGAAAGGCCCTGGGGAGGGAAGGTTTGACCGCGAAGCGGTCAGACCTCCCTCCCTCCCTAGTAAATTCGAACTACGGAAGAAAATGATTTAAAAGTTAGTATTAGGTGTCATTTTAACGTTAAATTTAGAATCTCAAGGAAGAATAAAGCTTCAAAGTTTTGACCCAGTAAAGCTCTGCAGGCTGATTTTTGAAATTATATACAAAGCAATAGACAAAGAAGACATATGGAGTATATAGCTATCCTTTTGGTTGAAATGGGTGGCGACCTATAGACTAAAGGAGAAATAAGTTAAAAGGCTATAGGCTAAAGGAGATAATGATAGACTAAGTATAGGTTTCTTGTGGATTTCCGTTCGTCAGTCTATTACCTACCGCCTTTGTCCATTGCAACCACCCGCTTCCGCACCTAAGGATCCCTCCAAATCCCTTTTGTCTTCTTTGTCCAGAGCTTTTTCTATACATTTCAATAATCGACCCGCTGTTCTTTTCTGCTAAATTCAATCCGAATAGCGTTGTCTCGAAATTTACGGCGTTCCTCTATCATACGTTTTCGTTAAATTTGCGTGAATTTCCTTTTTGTTCCAGTCAATGAGCAACTCAACTTCATTGATCTCCAACTCCACAATTCAGGCCCTGGCTCAGTTGAGCAACTCAACAGCTTCCAACAAGACTCTGGAGCGGGAGACTGCCGGGCTGCAATATTGGGAGTAAGTTGTCTCGCATCCCGCTCACTTTTACCTTTTTTTGACAGCCGAATTTCATTTTCTCGACTCGCCTCGCCTGTTAGCCAACCGGCTTTCCATCAGTGGCGTGGCGTGAATTGCGATAAATCGATTGTTATGCCATTTGAACCAATGGTAAAGAATCGATTATTAAGGTGTTCGCTGCGAACACCCTGTTTATCGATACTTTTCAATAGGTTTAAATGACCGATCAATCGATATATCGCAAAGCACGCCACGCCACTGCTTTCCATAGAGGATCAATAACCGGGGGGTTGTCGCTTGATGTTTTTCATATCGCCGCGCTTGAGGCTGTCGTGGTCGCGTCCTGTCGCTACCCAGATGCTTTAAGCCACGGCTTCATGGACTGCCAGCGTCGCGATTTTGGCCGTGTCGCAGGCAAATAGTGAAATCAGGCATTTTGTCAAATGCCTAGGCAAATAGTCAGAAATTCTAACTTGGATTGAAATTCTAATTCTTTTCCTGGTTTCAGACAAAATAATTCATTGTTCCTGCAAGAAAAAATTCTCAGTAAAAATTTGCACACACAATAGTATTTTAAACAATTTTTGGCTCCTGAGGAAACACTAATCCTGAAATTTTCAGCACGTCGTAAAATACAGAATTTTTGGAGTTTCAACATTTAAAAATATGAGAAGCAATTGAAGAGGAAGAGACAAAAAGAGTTCGTAGGTTTGATGAGTTATTTTTCCAAAAATAGTGAAAAATCGTGAGCTCTTCTCCATAAATTCACACAATTTTGTAGACTGTCAAAATTTGGCTATCTGCCTAGGCATTTGACAAAATGCCTGATTTCGCTATTTGCCTGCGACAGCCACACAAAGTCAACAGCACGGCAGAGGCGCGTGTTAAAAAATTTCGCTCGTAATATTGAAGGCCTAGATACACACGGCGATTAATCGCCGCAATTGAAAGACGGAAGCCAATTGAGAGCCTTGATTTCAATGTATCGACGTCAATGGATCGAAATCAAGGCTCTCCATTGGCTTCCGTCTTTCAATCGCGGCGATTAATCGTCGTGTGTATCTAGGCCTTAAAACGGGAAACGGGAAGACGCGACGATAAAGGCACGTTACAGTAGCGTACGCGCAATGTGTGAAGTATCCATGCAGTCTCGCAGGCACCGACAGCGCGCACGGCGCACCATGAAGTACGCGCAATGCGTGAAGTATTCATCCAGTCTCACAGGCGCTAACATGCGTCTCGTGCCGACCGCAGTGCTTAGCGCGATCATTCAAACTCGCGCAGCGTTTTTTAACTTGTGATTTTGAATTTGTTTGCATAGGTTCCCTCTGAGTGAATCATTCGTAATTTGCGCAGAGGCGCATAATGAAAAGTTTCGCTCGTAATCTTAAGGCCTAGATACACACGGCAATTAATCGCCGTGTGTATTTAGGCCTTAACCGAGCGTGTGACGCCGTTGCCCGAGAAACGAAAATACGAACATGCTTTCAAAACAAGGCATCAAATCTATAGATATCTCTGTAACAAGATTTTATTTGTATATTAACATCCTCTTGCACGTCGTTTTTCCTATTAAAGCATGGCCTGAGTTGCAATTATTGCATACCTATATATTGGTAACGTCGGCTAATAGCTCAACTTTTGTTTTCGGATATTTCTGTATAGAGCTTTCAAAACTGCATTCACCCTCGAGGCTCCTCACTGAAAATTGCAGATAAATTAGCAGCTAGAGCTGTTAATAAAACAACAGACTAAAATAGGGCAAAAAGCTCATGTTTGTTTTCAATTTTGTTATATTAAAAACAGCTTCAACAACCCACACACAGAGAGTGAAATTCCGACTGCAATATTTTTTTAGAGTAGTAGACGATCCTTACTAACGAACCTGATTTTAGTCTATGAAAGGATAGTGGCTATCATTACCTTGCGTTCTTAAAGATTAAAAGATGCAAATATGGACGGCGTAAGTCCGCAATCACATATCTCGTTTGCGGAATCTGAAAATCTCCGCCTCTAGGTTTTTTTTTTTTTTTTTTAAAGAGAACAAATTGACATCATTCCTTGAAGTTTTTGCAGAATTTTTTTCGCACAGAGAAAAAATATCACGGCAGTTTTGAAGAATCGCCGTTCAGTAGTTTTTTGTTTAAAAAATAAAGTATGACAGGAAATCTGCGACGTCGCAAACCGAATTATGTGATTGCCGACTCACACCGTCTATATGTATTAATTAATTAACAAAATTCGAACAAAATAAAAACAAACAAGAGACCTTTTAAATAATTGTGTTATTTAACCTTTAAGTAAACATATAAGAGCACAAAGTAATGGCAACTATTCTCTCATGTATTTAATTTCATCCAACCACTTACAGTTGGGTTCAAATGATTTTAATTCGATTTTACTGTCGCGGATTATACTGAATAAGCGATTTCGACGAGTTGTGACCGACGCTCCTCTAATCGATCATGGAGTTTCGAGAATAGCGCCTTTCTTTTTAAATTGGAAATTACGGGGCGGTGCGTCGCACAGTGGATTTAGTCAGTTGTAGAGGTCGGACATGAATTTTTTGGCTAAAACTGCAAATTTTGATGTTTATTTCGTCGCATTTCGAATTTTAAGGAGTGCTTTCAGGAGAAAATTTCACAAGAAAACCAGTGGAACCACCTTTAGAACCTCAAAGTTTTGTACGAACAGAGTTATAAGCGTTTAAAGTTTTTAATTTTTGTCCGACGTCTCCTATGGACTCGATCCACCGTGTGTCGGTGTGGCGACGGCGACACAGCACGAGCGGGCGGGGTGGGTGGGGGGGATTTAATCAGAAGGCAACCAAGCGTGAGTAATGTGTGATAATTGAAGTAAACAAAAAGTTGAATTTGTTTTCGCAGGAGGCATGTTCTCAAGCTGTCTGACGGCATCGAGCATCTAGGCCCCATCAAGCTCGACCTGGCCCTTTGCCTACTCGGCTCCTGGGTCATCGTTGTTTTGTGTTTAGTTAAAGGGATCAAAACCTCCGGAAAAGTAAGTACCCACACCCATGAATCTTTTGTGTTTTCCTATGTATTTTCAGATGGCGCACTTAAAGCACCGTAACGAATAAGACAAACGAGAAAAACGCAATACAAAATAGAGCAAGGGAAAGGACTCGCGCTGATGACGGCGCAGAGATACATCTATTCGTACTTGATGGATGTCCGTGTTGCATCTGCGAAATTGAAGGCGCGATGGCGCCAGACGTGAACTCGCAATGCTCCGCCCTATGCTGCCAATGAAGTGTCACTTAGATTCTGAAACAAAGTTGAAAAAAACGTCCTTCCTATCTTCGGCTGTTTTAACATTATACTGTTTTCTTTTTTTTTTCACTTTGACGTCTGATTCTCTCTGTCAGTGTTCTGAAAAGAACACTAACAAAACTCCTGTGATCAAATTGATAGTAGACAAATTTGAATGTTTCGGCGAGCAAAAAGTTTGAATCATTGACAAACGCACAAGGCACGTGCTTACGTTATAGCTCATTTATCACCTATTTTTGAAAATTGCTTAATATTTTCTCTAGGGTTTACCCAAGCTTTTGGTTGAGAAAAATGTGTCATAGTTTTTATTTTCTTACCTTGTCTGTGTTTTCCGTTGGTGTTCATTTGAAACTACTAATCAGACAACTCTGTGAACACGGTGGCGAGACTTATAACAGTATAACACACTGGAAGCTGGAAATTGAACACAATCATCACAGACACCGTGGTCGGAGGGTCGGTATACGGAATAAACTGTCGCAACTATATTTACGATGAACCCTGCGGGCCGATTATTGAAATTGATAGACAAAGCTATAGACAAAAAGGATAAAAGGGAGACGGAGAAATCCTATTGGTGCGGAAGTAGGAGGTTGCAATGGACAAAGGCAGTAGGTGATACACTAACTAACGACAACCCACGAGAAACCCGAAAGTTAGTCCATCATATTCTCCATTACTCTATAGGGCCCATCCATTTCAACCAATAGGATCGCTCCATACTCCCTATGTCCTCTTTGTCTATCGCTTTGTCTATCAATTTCAATAATCAACCCGCTGTAATCCGTAAAGTATCCTGCTGTCCACGTACTTTCCACGTCGAAATAGGGGCACGTCCTTTAGACGAAACGGGCGCGAATGGGGGAGAGAGACCCGGAGGACAAGGGGATGTTTGTGTCCGTGGTGGGAAGGGACAAGGCGGTTCCCTAGCCAAGTGACACGCGTGCTGTAAGTGTAACTTGTCAATAAAATGCAAACTTAATGAGGGAAATTATGTCATCGCGTTGGTCGCAAGGGATAATTGGCCCCGTTTAAATACTAGCCCAATCTGTTAAGTAGTTTAGAAAGCACTTTCTCTGATGCACGCGTGCTAATTTTATCGAAGTCCCTGCCTTATTTATACTTTCTTACGGAACGGAGCTCCTCATGCAGAACCTTACTCTCAGTCCAGCGAATTCCTGTCAATGGAAATGAACAGACGCACACAATCTCAGCAACACCTGGTGGCGCTCACCGCATCAGTGGCGTGGCATGAATGATCGATTATCGATATTTCCCCATTTGAATCCGTGGTAGGCAATCGATTATTAAGGCATTCGTTGCGAACACCCTGTTTATCGATCCTTTACCATAGGTTTAAATGACGGATCAATCGATATATCGCAAATCACCTCCCGTCACTGCACCGCAGGGTCCGAGGCACCAGATCGCACTCTTCAGTCATTACACTCATCGCGCCATTAGAGATCGTCACCCTCTCGGACCCTATACTGCCGTACTAACCAAGAACACCGCGCAAGCTTTAGGCGTTGCCAAATTTCCTTTGATAAAACACGGATTTCCTTGGAAACTAGTGAATATTAATCTTCCAAATTTGCACAGAATTTTATCCGCAATTTAACCTTAAGTCCCTTAAATTCTCAAAGGAAAAATACTCATAACTTGCGCTTCAGTAATAATTATTTTATCAAGGGAAATTCGGCAACGGTGAAATGTTCATACGGCATGAGAGTACTGCCGTGCTAAGGGAGAACGCCGTATGAACCTTCAGAGATTGCCACATTTCCTTCAGTAAATACCTAATTTACTGGGAAAATTGTGAATGTTTTTCTCCAATTTTTGTCAAACACATTTGTTCGCAATTTTGTCCAAAATGTCTAAAAATTTCAGGAAAAAATACGCATAATCTTACTAAAAAATACATGTTTCATTCGGGGCGATTTGGCAACTCTCGAATGTTCATAGGGCGTTCTTCCTTAGCACGGCAGAGTATACGTTACCCGTCCTCGTCTCGGCTCTATGCTCAATTAGGCGCGCTTTGAGAGCAACACTCACGGCCGTGTGAGACTACGCACGCCATTCATCACAGCCGCGGTCATTTCCTCGCTCCTCCGACGTAAGCGCGTATCTCCATCTCCACGTGAGCCCTGTTCCCGATATTACTCCATGCTTTCCGCGACTCATGTGGGAATACAGATACGCCCTCACGTCAGAAGAACGACGATTCGGCGGCAACGCTGCGTGACGTGCGAAAGAACATGTGCCGACAATTTGAGATGATTAGAGCGGGGGAAGCTGAGCTGGCGGCGGGGCGGGGGAGACATTTAGCGTCCCCGCGGAGGGGCGGGGGGAGGCAAGACTAAGCAGCTCGGTAAACATTTACTCGTCAGGATGAGGGATGAGGGATAAAGGACGAGGGATGAGCGGGAGCCGGTGAACATTGATCAAGGAGACTCCAGCGTCGCCCGTCGGGGACACGCATTTTTCAATTATCACACCTACTTTTACGCCCCCTCCCCCCACCCCCACGCTGAGACTACCCTTTCGGGGATCCCTCGAGACGGCGCGACGTTCCGTTGCACTCTTTTATTGTCTCCCCGTCCCCTTCCGTCTCCTGAGGGACATTTCCGTGTTTATTTCCGCTTTACGCGTGACTTTACGATTTCGATCGGGATCGTGTGCAGCCGGAAAATTCCTCACATTCCTCTCTGCCTCCCGGAGATGTAAAACGGCTAAAGATGCGCATTTCAAGCGTTTTTATGCACGGATCTATTTCGAAAGGTTTAGAGCTGGGTGTGGGTAAAGAGATGCTGCTGCGATATCAATTTACAAGTCGATGGTGTGTAACTAGAGGAGCACGAATTTCGATTGTGCTCAATACAACGCGAACAATACAAAAAAAAACCAACAACTACTACTGTGGATCACTCGGCAGTGGGCAGGATAAGGAATAAAGAACCACAGCACATATTGTTTTCTCATCATGTCATCGTGCAAAATACGTTGAACACATTGAAATATTTTAGAAATTGGCTCATGGCTCATGGGTGAGAAATAATCGTTTAAAGTTTACATCATGAAAAGTGATTTAAAACTTCCTTCTCTCGAGAAATATAGCATAATCAACGTAGACCAAATTAGGCATTGGATTCAACTCATGCGATGCGAATAACTACAGCTTAGTTTCACACAACATACCTCAATATTTTGATCCAAGGATCCTTTATTTTGAGCTTCAATAATATCTCATATACATTAGATGTACACTGAAGTCTTGCTCCATCTTGAGGGCAAAAATCGCCTTCAAATAACTGTGTATGGCACCCCATGACAGTAGCGTCTAATATAAGTCATCTCTCGTTATTCGTTGTATAATAATATTGAAGGTGCTACTAAGATCTGTCGACAAGACTGCGGGAAACAAAAAGTCGAGCTATAAAAATTGTACGAGTAGGATTTAGAAGGATTTAAGTCTGCAGGAAATCTTGAGTTTCTGGATTCAATTATTAGTAAGGAAGTTTTCACCAATGGTAAAAACACGCCTGGCAAGCAGGTTGATTACAGTGCATTAGCGGACTTTTAAACAGTCCATAGGCAATGGTATGGCCAGGTTGGATTCAACATAGGTCTTTTTTATTAGGTGTTACATTTAATTGTGGAAAAGCTGATTTCTTGCAGAGTAAATGCGCTTCAAAATTGAACAACTTTGATGGGGACAGTTTTATTTACTAGACTGTATAAGACTATAATATCAGAATTCAGACTATATTTCAAAGCAAGTAATCGCGAGTAAGAAGACTCGCACAAAAAAATAATTGAGGCAATCAGTCTCTTCGCGACATCTCGGTGCCTAAGTTCTAATACAGATACAACTTTTTTTTGTTTTTCTCACCGTCAAAGTCCAAATAATTTGTGGAGCTTTTTTAAATTGCTTGATTCTTATTTTCACCTTGATACCAAAAGGAGCGATTAATACATACGATGCTATATTTTAAGTTATTCGCCATACCCATAGAATATTGTTAAAATTGAACACGATTTTACTTAATTAAAATTCTATCAAAGTTATGAGAGGGATTATACGCACGGCTTGATGGCATATTCCATGCCAATATTTATGTCGGAGGCAAATGGTAAAATCAGGCATTTTGTCAAAAGCCTAGGCAAATACTCAAACATGTATACTTGGATTGAAATTCTGATTTTTTCGCTAATTTTAGACACAATAATTCATTGCTTTTGTAAAAAATAATTAACCGTAAAAATTTGCGTCATACAACAGTATATTAATCGAGTTTTTGCCCCTTACCTGAAGGAACGTCTAGTATGAAAATTCCAGCACGTCATAAAAACAGTATTCCTGCAATTTCAATTTGCTAAATTTATGAGAAGTATTTGAAGAGGAAGGACTAAGGAGAGCTCGTAGATTTGATGAGTTATTTTTTCTCAAAACATTGAAAACTAGTGAACTTCCAGCCATAAATTTACAAAATTTCGTGAACTGTCCGAACTTGACTATCTGCCCAGGCATTTGATAAAATGCCTGATTTTACTATCTGCCTGCGACATTTATACACACATGCTTGTGTTTTTGATGATCTGAAGATCTGTGCAAGAGTAACTTTTAAATGGCGAACAGACGCATTAAAATGGCGACGTAAACAGAGTATTCTGGGAATGCAAGGCTAACCTTGATGCGTGCCCACGTTCAGGCCAACCGAGAGAAAAATAATAAATTAGAGACGAAATAGAGACCGCATTTGCCGAATTCTCGAGGAAAATCTCGATTTTCTATTCACTATCCGATCGGAGCGATATATTTTAGCGAACGATCAGGCAACGTCCGGGGAGGGTGATCGATAGAACGCTTCGGATAAATATTATTTTCGAACCCGGCGAATGAATTGAAATCTATTTTCCGTGCACCGGAATTCCCGGGAAGCCGGGACGCAGGCGGATACGGGAAGAGAGGGGGTGTCGATTTTGCGAACTGGGTCAGGAGAGAGACTGATACCGTGAACTAAAAATATTGAATGAAAATGAGAGCGGGATATCATAAAGTCATGAAGCGCCGAAAAAAGAAGGGAAAAAATAGGATTTCGCTGAAAAATGATCCCGAGCTGAAGGGTGCGGGATGCGGGGGAGGTGTTTTGCCCCTTCATTGTCCCTCGGTGCCCTCTTTTTGGGTGAGGCTGTCAAGACAGAATGGTTTTTGGTCGAGCTGATTCTAGATGCGAAGCTCATCGTTACGTACTCACGGAGTGGGTTAATGGACAAGGTCCGTGTTCGAGCATCTTATTCAATGCGACCCCTAGAAAAATTCTTGCATAATGTAGTGTGCATTACACGTCAGGCCACATGCACCAGAAAAGAAAGTCTCTTAGATCCAGAGGCCTCTTGAAAAATTGAGAGTGAAATATATCCTTGATCCAATCAGAAGAGAGATAAAACACTAAGAAGTGGCCCGAATGCTGAATGTAACAAGGTGGAGAAATGGTGCTGGGTCCACACCATTTCGCGGGGAAATTAAAGCCAAGGAGTTCCAAAAATTATAATTTAAGAAAAAAAAAATTGGAACTTCTTAGCTTTGATTTCCCCGCGAAATGGCATGAACCCAGCACCATTTCTCCACCTTCAAACAGATGTTTGCATAAATTGAGATTCAAGATTCTAAATTTTAGCAGAGTTCTCTTTGAGTCAAGCTTTTGCTTGACTCAAAGAGAACTTTTTTTGATTTTTGATTGTTTTTTTGATCCGCGGTTGATTCTAGAGTAAGTGTTCCTGTCAATTTTTTTAAGAGTCTGAATTCTGAATCCAGGAGACTGCTTTTCCATAGTGAGTGAAAATTGTCGCACGCAGAGTTTTCATAAGTTCCGGATTTACAGGAAATCGAAGTGTCACTTTGATATTTAATTACTGAGGGGACCCTAATCTCTGTTCCAGGTCGTCTACTTTGCAGCAACTTTCCCGTACGTGATATTGTTTACCCTCCTGGTGACAGGACTTGTTCAAGAAGGCGCAATGACAGGGGTGAAATACCTGCTAACGCCAGAGTGGAGCAAACTATTAGATATTCAAGTAAGTCTCTATCTTGTTACATGGATACGTATTTCACTACATCAACGTTTTAGAATATATTTGACCGTTTTGGATATTATGGCGGGTCGTATTTATCTGTTTAAAATATGATTTTTAAGTTTTATTTTTCTTTTTGCTTGAGTGGTTATCCATAAATTATGCAAGGCTCTAGAAGGCAGGATGAAGTCTTAGGCAGCGTTATGGAAGATAGAGGTATAACTTGAAGCGTCACATTAAAACTTTCAGTGGATTTATCACGGTATTAAAATGTTATTTTCTATTGCCTTTGACTATCTTGATTACTTGGTGCCCTAAAAAAATTCTTAAAACAATGAATTTTTACCAATTTCTTTTTTATTAATCAACTTATTCAATGTATTCAATGATATTTATTTAAAAAGAAAAAAAAAATGCTTGTTATTAAGAGGATATCTCGTATGAAACGTTCGTATTTTCTATTAAGTAAAAATGCGGAAAACGTTGTTCTTCATCATTGGCGGATCCAGAAAATTGGCAACATCGGATTTCCTCCATTTAAACCTATGCTTAATAATCTATTCTTGTCGAAGCACCTGGTTCCCACAAGAATCGATACATTTCCATAGGTTTAAATGGGAAAAAGCAATGTTGCCAATTTGCTGGACCCGCTAATGTTCATCATTACTTGAGGTCGGAAATCATGAAAAAAAAAGAAAATCAAGAAAAAGAAAAATGGTTCGTTAGATGATTTGGACGCATGTAAACTAGACGTTTTAATATTGAGAAAGAATATACTCCATAGAATGTTTACGAACTGGTTGTAAATACATTTTGGAATAGCGACCCCTCCTCCAATTTTCTGCTGTGAAAAAATTAGTGCGCGAAGAGAGAGTTAAAAGAAACAAAACCCAGCGTGATTAAGAAGGAAGGGACGGCGCATGGCGGCTTAAATTAGAGGCTCTTCAGCTGAAAACGTTTCGACGGCTTCTTGTCCTTCCAACTGCTCCATAAGGGTCGAGAACAAAGGGGGTTAGGTTTTTTTCTACGAAATAGCAGAACTCGCTTTTCACAGTGCAATAAAAGTTGACAGAGCTGCTCCTTGAACCGAGCCATGATGATTGATGAGGTCGCCTGATGCAATTTCGTGATTAATGTTTCTTAAAAGTTAAACGATACCTTATTTGAGAATATATTTAATTTTGCTCGAAACCGGGCAGGGTCTGAGGAGACATTAGAGGGAGGGGGAGGCTGGTCGCATGAATCGAAAGTTTCATCGAGTTTCGCCTCGTTTACCGCAATGCTGAAACTCGAGCCCTCTTGCCCCAAGGTCCGTTATGAGAACGGATATCAAATTCAGGTTTCTAATTTCAATTTAATTCGAGTCACTTATAAATCTATTTTCTCCCTCTTTTGTCGCAGGTGTGGCAAGCAGCTGCTGGTCAGATGTTCTTCTCACTCAGCGTTTCAATGGGGGGTCTTATTATGTATAGCAGTTATAATGACTTTCGAAACAACGTGTACAGGTCAGAATTTGTCATTTTTAATTATGTGATAAGTTGCAATTCGTTTGTTTTGTACACAATTTTAAATATTGGTCGTTGAAAGGACGAATGAAAAAAGGTCAATAGATTCAACTTGAAATGATCACCGATCGTCCCATTTTATACGGATTGTATTAATTTGGCAGCTTAAACTTACATGTACAATGGGCCTGTTGCAAACTTTTGCTAGAGCAAAACTAAGAGTTGTTTCCTACAGATAATGCCTCAAAAATCACGATGAGCGCATCGGCAAAGTCTGAAATGCACTCATAACTTCACAATCTGCGTAAGAAATTTGCGGTTTTTTGAGCTTCCCGCTTCGAAAACGATACTACGGTACAGGTGAACATTTTGTTAGAGGAGTCGTTCCATCGGCGACAATACTCATCATGGCCGACGCCAGTCCGCCAAAACACGTGTGATGGGACGAGATAACACCTGAACAGGATTAAACCATATAACAATCGGCGTGTTTACGTTCATATTTTCCTCGCCCGCCTTAATTGACCGTGAACTCTCCTCGAATTACGCGAGGAACTGCGCAAGCGTCGGCCATGATGAATATTGCCGACGATGGAGCGACTCCTCTAACAAAATGTTCACCTGTGCAGTGGTATCGTTTTTGAAGCGGGAAGCTCAAAATAACGCAAATTTCTTACGCAGATTGTGAAGTTATGAGTGCATTTCAGACTTTGCCGATGCGCTCATCGTGATTTTTGAGGCATTATCTATAGGAAACAACTCTTCATTCTGCTCTAGCAAAAGTTTGCAACAGGCCCATTGGATTTGATTGTAGACGTACTACGCAGTGCCGATCATTGAAAGTTGACAACATTATTTTTCCTTCATTTAAATGTCAATTCTTGGTGGCAGCTTCCCTCATCTAAATCGATATTTTTAATTGATTTAAATGGAGGGAAAATACTGCTGCTAACTTGCAAAATCGCCACTGCGACCACAACATAGACAGCTCCAGTAAGTTTCTCTATGATAGCAACGGTAGTGGTTGGCAATAATGCCAAATTTTTTTCTTGTTCTGTATCAGAAATAAAAATGAATTGATTACTCCTAAGGTGGAAAACTAAGGTGGTTTTTGAATTGAAGAATATTAGCCATAATGTTGGGAAGGTCAAAATTAATAATTGAAAACAAAAATTGAAGCTGTCCCTGGCCTTAAAAACCATTTTTTTTAGGACCAAACAAATTTTTGAATTGAGATAAATACCAAATTGAACGATCCCGTAGACTTTATACGCATTGGCATTAGTAACTTATCGACCTAACAAACTGATACTGGCCGTTTCAGGGATGCGTTAGTGGTGAGTGTGATGGACACCCTCACGAGCATGATCAGTGGAATCGTGACATTTTCGATCCTTGGTGCCATGGCTCACGATCTAGACGTGGACATCAAATCGGTTGTAAAAGAAGGCCCCGGCCTGGCTTTCGTTGCCTATCCAGAGGCGTTACTTAGGCTCCCTGTGCCACAGTTATGGTCCGTCCTATTCTTCCTTATGCTCTTCGTTTTAGGACTTGATAGTGAGGTAAGTTTCGATACAAAACATTATGTTCGATTATATATTGCCGAAAGGTACTCTGAGGGTATTTTCTGTTTTGATCAAAGGAAAATTGTAAGAAACCAGGTTTATTATTATAAAAAATACCAGTTGTCCAGTTGTTTTAAAGGAATTCCAATTCATTCACACGGGATTTTCCTCAGGAGAAATTTAAATGACGTTATTCCTTCTCTCTTCTCCTGTTTTACTTCAATCAAAAATGAATTCAATTAGGGTTAAAACAATGGGCCTGTTGCATGCAAGAGATACAGCCGCGCGAATAGACTTTTTAGAGGTTAAATGACACGAAAATTACGATGGTCACATTAAAAAAGTCTGAAATACACTCCTCACTGCGCAATTTGCGTTGTCAGGAACGCGCTTTTTCAAATTTCCCGCGTCTGGGGGCAGTTTTCTAATCACCGGAAACGAGCAAACGGCGGGCTCGGTGATTTCCGGAAGATGCCGAGTCGTTGTTGTTGTTGTTGTTATTTTTTCCTTCAGTTTGTTTACAAACCCAACGTGATCTCTTATAGTGGTCCATATACGCTTTATGCGGTAACCAAATCGATCAACTTTTAAATATCCAACGCAATCCTTCTACATTTCATTTCACGATATCACGAGCTCCGATTTTTAGGCTATGTTGTCAGTTTTAGTTGACCGGAAATAGCCGCGAGTTGCCGTTAATTGTTTCCGTTAGAAAACTGCCCTCAGACGCGGGAAATTTGAAAAAGCGCGTTCCTCACAACGCAAAATGCGCAGTAAGGAGTGTATTTTAGACTTTTTTAATGTGACCATCGTAATTTTCGTGTCATTTAACCTCTGAAAAGTCTATTCGCACGGCTGTATCTCTTGCATGCAACAGGCCCATTCTGGCGAGATGAAAAGTTCAATTTTTTCAATTGACAATGCACATCAAAATCTGATCGTAATTTGATCACAAAGTCCGTCGCAAAACCTTGTGATGGTTTAGCTACAAGGCAGAAAACGTGTGTTGGCGTAATTGCACACCTTCAGGATTGAAGGCGTTTTATGCTCCTTGGCTCCTAAGCTCAAAAATAAAAACTCCATGTAAGTCAAATCACGATACAAACGTTGCCTGGATATAGTCTTTGCGGCATGAAAATATGACAACGTCAATCTGACGCTTTGGCTCAGTTGTTGCATATTGTTCACACTAAACAACACNGGGGGGGGGGGGGGGAGGAGGGACACTGCTCGCTGTTGTGGTGCGCGATTTGACTCACGTCTAGAGAACTGCCTTTTTTTGTGAGCAGGCAATTCAAATTCCCTGTAACCAACGCAAATTAAAAACTTTCATATCTCGTTAGAGTTACTTTAAGCAATTTTTGTAGCCCTGGGTGAAATTTTGAGTAGGAAATGTGTCATAATCTGTACCTTGTCTAGTGGTCCATTACTCCTTTTGCTGCGTTGCCCACATATTTGCATCAATTTTTATACTTAGTACATTTTTTATTTTTTTATAGTTGATAAATATATTTAACTTATTCTTAATTACAAACTGGTTTTTTTCAATTATTTAGTTCGCTCTTCTGGAGAACGTTCTGACAAGTGTTTCCGATGAGTTCCTGTTTTTGCGGAATCATAAATTGGCTTTCTGTGTGGGCACAGCGGTGTTTTGTTATCTTGTTGGTCTTTCCTGTGTAACTTACGTAAGTGTTTGCTCTTTTTACTAGCTATTACAGTATGTCCAGATTTCTTTTTTCTTTGATGGCCCACAAAGAAAGGGTCGTTTTTGCCAAAACACTAAACATTGACCTAATAATATCATTGCTTGGAAGGGTAATTTACGACGAATGTTGCGCATTAAATGCCAAAAATTCAAGTAAAACCTGAGTAACGACGCGACGGTTAAAGTTTGATGTTCAAAAGCCTAATTTTTTGAGATATTTATTGAAGATGAATAATTTACCTTATTCAAGGCTCATAATGTTAGGATTTAATAATAACCTTAGTCCTATTTTTAATTAGGCCTATTAATTAACCTTTCTGCACAAAAAATAAAGAAAAACATGTGAATAATTTAAATTTTATAATTCTCTTCGGCTCGTAAAAAATGAGACACCTAACACAGAAATAGAAGGCTATTTAATATATGTATGTAGATTGCACTGTTCCGTACGATATGACGTGTGATATTTTTATACGGATATATTACAATAATTGCGACTACGTTATAATAGAAGCTAAGCAAAACCCGCAATACTGAGCCAAATAAATGAGAATTCACCGCGATATTGTCATCAAAACTGTCTCATGATAACGGATATCAATTTTTCATTTTTTTCTTCCAGAATTGAGAGAGACACCCGTGATGAGCATCGTTGAAACTGGATCTCTAGAATAAAATAGATTTTTCCTAAAAGATAGTCGATCGAATTCCTAATGTATTTGTCTCACCGTTCTTTTCAGGGTGGCAATTATGTGCTAACTCTGATGGACGTTTATGGTGGAGGAACTGCCGTGCTCTTCATAGCCTGTTTCGAATGTATCTTTCTTGTTTGGGTTTATGGTAAGTTATTAATCAGAATTAAATCGTATTAAATGATTGACCATTTAAATTCAAAATTAAATCATTACTTACAATTTATACTTTTTAGAATGTAGAAAACGGAACATGCTTATAATGGGAGGAAACAAAGAAATTCTATGTCGATTGTATGAATCAAAATCGTGCTTCAGAGCGCATTGTTTAGTCATTTCTTCGGCAGCGTATACCAAAGACATGCCATTATCGTCTCATAGCTTTTGGCTATAAATATTCCATTCTACACCAGTGAATGGAACTCACTGTATCATAGTCTGTGGAAAAGGACTCCATTTCCTTGTTTAATTTATCTTACCTTTGCTTTGATCATCTTGTTGCTACAAAGTACACAATTTTGAAATTAAGAGGTACTTTCAAAATTGTGAGCATTTCAGCAACTCTCGGAGCTAAGAACTTTCTTTCCTCTATGTTGGTTGGTATAAGGAATGATAATGACGCTTTAATAGTACTCACTTTTTTAATCTATTCATTTTCACAATTCTTTCATTTCTTTGGGATTTCTCTTGAGATTTAAAAGGTATCACAGAATATAGTATAGTCCAAAATCGTGAGAAAAAAAGGAGGAATATACCGAAAAAAAGTGAAGTTGATTTAACATTCCAGATGTAAAAAAAAGTGTCCGAGAACTTTTAAAATGCTGAATTGCCCGCTACAGTAGTTACTTTAGCAATGCCAAGATGTAAAACTAACTGCTGTGGTGGATAATTCAGTATTTTTTAAGTTCTTGCACACTTTTTTCACATCCAGAATGTTAAATCAACTTCACTTTTTTTCCGGTGTACTCACCATAAGTTGCGAATTTGCCGGTCTAGAATGTATAGGAAAAGATTTGCACGTCGTCCTCTCATGTTTTTTCGATAAACCTTGCATGACACCCCTCTCCTGAAATATCCATTACGCATAAACGTGAAAAATATAGAAAAAAGGGGGACCCAAGAAACCGCGGTTGACATCCCTCTCCGTTGGATGCTGCTTCCATCGACGCGGAGGTTTCCCGCTCGAAAGCAGCGGGACGCAAAGATACCGGAAAACGCGGGTTAAATCGATCAAAAAACGCACCGAGTTGTCGATTGCTTATTTCCGGCGCCCCGCACGGTCGCTTTCCTCGGCCTCGTTGTCCGATTACGCGAGAAAAACCCGCCCGTTTCACACGCATGAGATGAGGGTGCCGAAAATTTCCGCACCATGTACCAACCCTGACCTCCATCTGTCGCATTTTCGCGGGCTGGGCTGATCGCTGAACAGATGGCTCGTCGTTGATCGATTTCCGTCCTCCAACCCTTCATACTCACCCCCCCCCCCTACCACCCGCCATCCAAGTTCAGACTCTTCCTGCACGGTTTTTATTCATCTCGCTTTTCCTTCTTCCGTCTCTCGCGATGCGTGAGCTCAGGGTGGTCCTCGTAAGGGAGCTCTGAAATCTGTTCCGAACTTTGAAATTCCAAGTTTCTTTTTGGACGTCATTTCCGTCATCTCAAGAAAAAAACTCTAAATCTTTCAACAAGCATACCTCCCGAGCATTTTCTCCTCAAGTCGGAAACCCCCTTTCTGCATTATTTTTATTTATTTTTTTCGGCATTTCGATAGTATGATACGAATATTTTTGAAGCAGTGACTTTAAAAAGTTGTTGAAAGACCGCTCATTCCTTGCAAGATAGGTCTCGAAAAAAGTTGGAAAGTTGGAAAATAACTGAGCCTTAGATGAATGTTGGGAAAAAGTCTACTCGCATAGTGGTTTGCATTTATAGATTCCTCTGATCTCTTACGTTCACCTTGATAATGCGTGATGGCTATGGAAATACCTACAAAACCGCTGTTTTCGCGATTAGGTCTGAGAATGATTGCTCCATAATGATTGCACGACCCCAGCTGCTACGCAGCCATACCTCCAGAGAGGGCTTCGCGCCCTCTAAGGCCCACTCAGCGGTCCTCCGTAAGCAGTGGCGTGGCGTTCTTTGCAATATATCGATTGATTTGCCATTTAAACCCATGGGGAAGGATCGATAGGCAGGGTGTTCGCAGCGAACACCTTAATAATCGATTCTTTACCGTGGCTTCAAATGGAGAAATATCGATAGCCGATCATTCACGCCTCGCTTCTGCCCGTAAGTTGATCCAAATAGAACGGGCTAGTCCAGAGACCTTCCTCCATCGACGCCCCAAATATAATGTAAAGCGGTCCCGTACAATGTACATCTTTAGAACGGATTGTGAGAAGAAATTAAAATTTTACCTGTCGATGACCCTAAAAATCATGAAAATTTGCCAAGTGGAACGATGGAACGAACTGTGATAAAAAAAAATGAAGTCAAGGGGGTCAAAGAGCTTGTTATAATGATTATCACAGCAGTTTTCTCAACAACGCTTCTGGCCCGACTGTGTCGTTTTTAAAAATACAAAACTCAACACATTTATTAATTGCCATAGACACCACGAGGGACCTACGTTCGAGTGCAAAATTTTTATACCGAGAAAGCTTGACCACTTAAATAATAATTGACTCTTTTTTTCATTTTACAGGTTTAAATAGGCTATGCGAGGATTTAAAGTTTATGCTTGGATTCCGGCCAGTACTATATTGGAGGGTAACTTGGAGCTTTTTTGCACCGGTTATTTTAGCTGTAAGTTTTATTTCAAACATCATTTGCTCTAATACTTTCTTTACGTTCGCACTTGTTCTTAATTTGTTGGCATTTGTTTACAGTGCTCGCGATTTTGTACAACAAAAATTACTGAATGTACTACTAAGCAAGATACTAGTTTGCCGATGCAATTCAAAATTCTTGCTTATAAGAAAAAATTGAGTCAAGCGCATACTGAACGTTAAAGAAACGGTTCAACGGTTTCAAACGGTGCTGCACGTTGTTAACACTTTGGAACTTTGAACTACATAAGACAGGAAATGGGGAGACGCGACGATTGAGGCACGCACAATACGCGCAATGCGTGAAGTATCCACGCAGTCTTGCAGGCACCGACAGCGCGCGCGGCGCACCATGGAGTACGTGCAATACGTGAAGTATTCATCCAGTCTTGCAGGCGCTAATATACGTCTCGTGCCGACCGCAGTGCTTAGCGCGATCATTCAAAGTCGCGCAGCGTTTTTCAACTTGTGATTTTGAATTTAGATGCACAGGTGCCCTCTGAATGAACCATTTGTGATTTACTCTGAAAAAAAGCTTATAAACTACACAATATTCAAATTATTTTCTTCTCTTTATTTGCAACTGGTAATGGTCGGCAAAAAGAGAAAAAACTGCGTTTGCGTATCCGTCTAGTCATCCAATGTGAGCTTATTTCATTCCTGTAATGTCCATCTAATTTTTAAGTTTATTTTATAAAAAACAGCAAATAATTTGATTTTTTCCTTCCTTTTTCCGCAGGCAATTTTCATTTACTCTCTGGTAGCTCTTAAGCCTTTGAAGTACGAAAACTACGACTACCCAAGCTGGGCAAACAGCCTTGGATGGTGTTTGGCTGCCTTATCAATGCTGCAGATTCCTATTTGGGCCGTAGTCAGTATAATTAATCAAGAGGGGCCTTCATTAAAACAGGTAATCTTTTTCAATTTGACCGCTCAAACTTTGTTATACTACAACGAAATATACCGGGGGTCATATGGACTGCATTTTGCAATTTGGAACCATAAATTCTGGCTCATCTGAAAAAACATTTATGTGCATAGGGAAACTAATGGCACACACGTTGTTTTTAAACCAGGCCGGAATTTATAAATTCTAATTGCAAAATGCAGTCTATGTTTGTATGAGAACATATTACAAAAATATTATTAACATTATATATTATAACATTATTATATATTTAACAACAACAAAAGTTAACTTAAAGAATTATAACAATGGTAAACAGTTGTAATGTTTTATAAAATTATCAGTCTCTAATACTAATGAATGTCTCTTACTGATTTAGTCTATGGTTTAACTTTGTAAGGGTTTACTTGTTGTTTTTTTTTTTTTGTTGTTTTTTTCTTTTCAAAAAAATTCTGACTCAACTTTGGATCCTCAAAACTCATGAGCATACTCCCCGAAAGTAGCTCCAATACTTTGCATTAAGTTTGCATTTCAATGCTCCAAGTGGACAGTTAAAGTTTAATTTTCCGATATTTTTTCAGCGAATAAAGCAAGCTTTGAAACCAACAGACGACTGGGGACCGTCGGATTTAGATCTCAAACAAGACTGGATCGCTCAACATGAGAAGAACAAGGAAGCCCGACTCAAGAAGTCTACCATTCAAAATGGTACGTAATCAAATTCAGATAGAAACCCAGCTGGAGACAGCGTATACCAAGCACTAGGCATTACTATTGTTTCTGCCTCATCCATAATACACCCCACTTATGTGAGGAAATCAATGGCTAAAGATCCGCAAACTTAAGATCCCATGCTGTTTATCATCATGAATGATAAAATGAAAAATTTTGCGGCTTTTAAAAATCTTATGATTGCAGTCGAGCAACGCTTCATGAATATCAACAATGACAAAAAATTCTGATTTATTTACTCGTTAATTATTATAAATTTTCCTCGAGTATCACATTTCATTTCAAAAGTGAAACCAATAAAATGCCCCACGTGGGTCCTTAAGGTGATTCGTCAAGCTCAAAAGAAGTGGTCGAACTGGCATGCGATATATCGCATCTTTTAGGTAAAAAATCTCTGCAGATTTTGAATTTTCAGCAAAACAGAGGACGATAGCCCCTGCGCATGAGCCTAAAGCATCATTCTAAACCCAAAAATCGGCAAAATTTAGAGGAATGAAAGCAGAATAGTGTTTGGAAAAAAACGTCGCATTCTATACAGAAATCGGCAGCTGTATCGAATGCGAGGTTTTGTTCCAAACACTATTCTGCTTTAATTTCTCTAAATTTTGCCGATTTTTGGGTTTAGAATGATTCTTTAGGCTCATGCGCAGGGGCTATCGTCCTTTTTTTGCTAAAAATTCAAAATCTGCCGAGATTTTTTACCTAAAAGATGCGATATATCGCATGCCAGTTCGACCACTTCTTTTGAGCTTGACGAATCACCTTAAAGCATATAATGGTTTTTATTTGGTATCGTTGAACCTCAGTTTGATGTTACTTTGCATGCCCTCTTAAAACCGACGTTTCTTGCTCTCTGTTTCAGGAGCGGCTTCCAAAGACCCCTCAAGCAATAACGCACCAAGTGTATAGTAATTGTTATGTTACAATCAGATTTAGATCAGCAAGCTACTGTGAAGTGTACAGTTTTATTCTTAGATTCATAGTATAAATGTCCAAGTCTAAGCACTGCATTTCCCTATCAGTGGCGAAGCGTGACTGATCGATTATCGATATTTCCCCCATCTGAAACTGTGTAAAGAATCGATTGTTAAGGAGTTTGTTGCAAATACCCTGCTTATTGATCCTTTTCCATAGGTTTAAATGGCAGATTAATCGATATATCGCAAAGCACGCCACGCCACTGTTCCACATCCACTTTCTGTCTCCGTTTTGAAAGTGAATGAGTATCCCTGGTGACAATGACGCTCAAAACTACTGTGATAAAAACATCTTTCAAATTTTTAGTAAGCCATATTAAGCATTGAAGACACACCTAATGATTTAAATTCTGCATGCAATGCATAGCGTGTGATACAAATCGAGGGTGAAACTGCAGCAGAGGCGATTCTTACAAGTAGCAACACTGTTTTTTCCATTTCAATGTATGTTAAACAATCGATTCTAGGTGAGGCAGACTGCCTAACCTACAATCGATATTTTAAATGGGTTTCAAGGGAGTATTGAAGGTGTTGCCAACTTACTGGAATCGCCACTGACCTGCAGGAATGCGTACCTCTCGTTAGCGGTGTTTAAAAATCTCCACTCATATATAGTATTTTATCAAAAGGAGAAAAACCAACGCCATTGCTTGAAACTGTCAGAATATTCTTCATCCAGAGAAAGAAAATCAGGGAGTTTTCGGGGAATGAAATCGAAGATTTTTTCCTTTAAAAAGACAGGAATTCAGCAACGTCCCAAACCGAGGAACTTGTTCTTGCAGTTTGACCATCGAAAATGAGTCCGTCGTCAGTAAGGAATAAAACCAGATGAGTAAACTTTCTAAAAATAAAATTGTCTAAAATCATACCGTAATGTATAGAATTTGCGTGATTCTTTTAAAGCTTTTTCTTTACTACAGCCCTGAGCGATTTTTTTTCCTACGCCGAGAGAGAGAAAAGAAAGAATAAATTTAAACGCCGTAAGAAATTTTAATCTAAATGAACGAACCATCGCTCATATTGTTGCTCACGAGTATTTTCAATAATTTTTCTGCTAGTGTTTTCTTCTCGATTTTTGGGGTGGCTAATAAAAACGCTTTAAAAATCGAAATCGTACTCGAGAGATATTTGTTGAGGAAATAAATTGCAAGGAATGAATGCTAGGCGCTCAGAGCTATGTAATTTTTTGCCATACCTACTATATCACGACTTATTTAATTGCCAACTTTCATAAAAACTAATTATCAAAAACAGTTATAAGTACATGCTTTTCATCTGAATGTATAAAGTTTCTCTCTATCTCTCGCAAGTTTCTCACACGTAGTTTTAAGAGTCACTGTTATCAAAAGGGGTCTTAAATAATTTTTGTTCAGAGCGCAATTTAGCGTATTGGCAGCACTTTTTGGGCTTTCAAATTTGTTGGATGACACTTTTTTTCCCCAGGCAAGTATGCAAGCAGGGAATTTTAAAAACTCTCACATTAAACCTGAGTGTGATATGTTTCATACATAAAAATTCGCAAATTTTCTCTTGATATGTGTCCTAGCTCTGATATGCCTGGAAAATAAAAAGTGAGATAAAGAGTAAGCTCACTATTGTATTGTTTAATTTTTAATTTTCATTACTTTTGTTCATTTATTACTTTTGTCTATTTTTTATTGTAGATGCCAAGATATTGCGTTAAATTTATGATACAACTTAAGTCAATGAAGAGCGCTGCCATTCTAAAATGGACTCATTTTACCTTTCCATAATACCTCAAAATTGTGAATATTATAGTACTTTGTTACATGTATATTATACATTTTTATAGTCCCCAATTACTTAAATGAAATTGTTGAATTTAAATAAATTTTGACGCTTGTAATGGGATATTTGAATCCTACTCTTAAGAACAGTTTGAAAGTGATACAAAATTAAACTACGTATGAGACTTACCTCTGTGCATGTGTTAGAGGTTTAGCAGGAACATGATGATGAGTTAAAGGGAGGTAATAAAAATGAACTAAAACAATCAAATGAGAAAATTGATTTATGCATAATTGCAAACCACCTGGAGGCAAAAATTCGTCACGGTGGAAAAAGAAGAGTTAAGATTATAAATATATACCATCAACTTTCACCTGAAGTTGAATTCTGTCAATTTTTTTCAAGTGTCAGTGCTTGAACTTCCGATTTTCAGATTTTGTAGGACTATATACAAATTATATCGATATCTATGTAAGAACTTTAAAGATACTGATTGTAGGATATTTTGGTTTTTCCCTTATGTACATAAATAATTTTGGCTTCCTGTGAATACGACTCTGTTTATGTAAAAAAACAGCCGAATTATTTACAGTTTCTTAGAAAAGTCATTGTTACATTATGGATTATTTTTATACATGTTTATTAATTGTTTACATAGGTTTTTGTAAAGAACTGTAAGAGGGTAATCTCTTTTGTTTTCTTCCAACTTGGAATATTAAAGGAATAGTTCTTTAAGTAAAGAACTTAGTATATTTTTTCCAGGTGGAAAATATAAGATTGAGATTCCAACTCATCTTTTAGTGGGAATCTCAAGTAAATTACTTTGTTGGATTTGCAGATACGTCAGACATTATGTTCATGGCGTGTCTTTAAGACTTCGTGCTCAATCTTTGGTGTGATGCCAGACATTCTGGTTGCGGATACTAAATTATTATTTGGACGTATCTCTGCCAAACAGAACTATGTGCACTAAGACATGAGCTCTGAGACTCATAAGAAAATATGTATAACAGGGCTCACGTCATAATTCACCTAGTTTTGTTTGGCAGAAATACGTCCATTTCATCATCAGTATATTTTGAAGAGAAGAAAACTCTTGAGAAGTTCTCCATACATACATTTTTATTCATTCAATACGTGTCAAGAGTCAGTTCGCTGTTAATTTAAAAAATCAATTGTAAGAACGACACACTCACAATCAACCATCAAATTTCTTTAACTTAATGAAATCCTTTTTAAAAATGGAAAAATGTCGTCCCTCTTTAGAATACCTTGTCCGGTTTTTTCCTGATGTTAAGCAATATAGCAAAAATTCCGCTTTCACACCGTTTCCGCGTGCTCCTGATTGACACTCCATGTGATCCTGCCAGAGTAAGATAAACAGTACATTAATATTTAACTAATTTTACAAGATTACGGAAGAATGTTTGGACTGTGTTCATAATAACTCCTCAATCCCTCCTTAATTTGTCCATTTAGTCTACAACTATAGATTATAGCGTTAAGTAAATATTTAACACGGAACCGAAATGTAAACCGATGAAAAGATTCATGTACAGACTTGCAACGATACGTATGCTTCAGAAAAATTACAAATCATTGGAGAACGGTAGATTTAACCCTCGAGATTATTTCAAATCTCGTAGTGAATCCGCACAATACCAATTCAATCTTGTCTTCATTAAATATTTCGATTTAATAGCACAAACTTCAAATCGTGACCGCAGGCAAGTCCAGTTTTGAAAACAAAATAATGAAATATAAGCTCGAACAAACCGTTGAAATCGAAGAAGTATGAGTGAAATGTGTAGTGTAAACACTGCACAAATCCATTTTTCCACAAGATTGAGATAACAGAATCATTAAACGGGAAGTCCTGTTTTAGCTTTGTTTAGCAGATGTTACTGTTCTATGTGAAAACAAAACTGCGAAACAGAAATTTTGGGGCACTGAAGGAGTGATTTTTTTTTACCAAAATGTGAAAAAAAAGTCCGATAGATTCACTAAATCTGTTAGACCTGGACATAGACGAGGGTGCTCGCTAACAATTTCAAAACATGTCTTCTTCCAAATTAACTGTATTCTCTAAAAATTTGGAATGTTACCCCTGAAATTATAAGTGCGGAATTGCATAGTATTTATGAAAGTCTGAAAAAACTAAGTAGTGCAAATTTACTCTACACACGGAGAAAAAATTCAAATAAAAAATTTCCGAGTGAGCATTCTCATTGAGTCTACAGAATAGCTCGTTTTTTCAGACGGATTTTCTGTTATCGTAAAGAGTCATGTCCCTTTAAAAAGATTTCTGGTTGACGCGACAAAAATTTTTGTCCTCGAATTTTAAACTAGAAAATTTTTCTAACTCTATGCGTCATGTGCACAGTGATATTCTCCGCGATGTAAAAACGATTGGTATCAATTAACATAACTGGTTCAGTAGCAACTTAATTATTTTATTAATTTAGGAAACTGGTTTACCAGTCCTTTCATGAGCAAATGAAATCAAATGTTAATGTAGATTAAGCTCAAGCAGAACTCTTGTACATAGGTCATATATACATTTTCAGTAAGTAGTTGATAACTCGTGCAATGAAGCAAAAACGAGAATGTAAGTAGACTCCCAATGGATCAATACAATCGTGGTTTTCGATTGTATTAAAATTGAAAGTTATGCCAAAATTTTCATTTAGATTTTTTTTAAAAAAACCAACGCTTTTGCCAAGTTCAGCTTTTCGCAGTATTGATTGTTGTCTTCAAGCAGTTTACCACTAGTCAGCGGCATATTATTTTTTGATCAATAGGCTTACATCAAAAGGCCTGGATACACGCTCAAATTTCCGTCAATTTCCGATCAAAATGATGACAAAAATGGCGGTCAGATTTTTGCAGGCCGCAAAAATTTGATGGTAGATGGTGCGCATCAGTCACCATTGGATCGGAAATTGATGGAAATTCGAGCGTGTATCCAGGCCTTTAAAATGTGAAAAAGCAGTGCTGCCAACTTTTAAGAGTAGCCAATAATAATACCGCAGTTGAGATAGTAAGCGCATTTTCGTTGATGATCGGCATAGAGTCGTAATGTAAGTGGGAGAGCTAGCGCCATTTTTAAGCACTTTCCATGTCCCGAATTCCGAGACTCCTGTGTGACGCCGGGTCACTTTTTCGATACATAATCGATTGTTTGCGATACACGGGTACCCGGCCATCCGATGACAACAACAACAACAACAAAGGAGATAGGAATTACCACGTATTCCACACCGCCATTTTGGATCGAAAATGTATCAAATAAGCGACCCGAACTCGACTCACACCGGGCTCGGAATTCGTCGAGCAGAACATGGCGCCAGCTCTCCCATTTACATTACGACTCTATGTACTCTATGATGATCGGTCGAACCAAAATGGGTAGATCAAGCGGGTTCGTATTTTGTTTGGACGCGATCATAATTTTTCGGATCAACATCGGGACTTACCAGACAGATAGAAGGTGGAATTCTTGCAAACGTTGGAGCCAAAATATAATCCTGCAAAGACCCAAACATGACCTCGCCGCCATTGTCGCGGCATTTTGGCCCGACCGATCATCTACGAAAATACGCTTAGTGTTTTACTTTAGATTCACTGTTGAGCTATATGAAGCACAGTGTTTCACGCGTCATACGAGCCATGCAAGAATCTTCCTAAACAGAATGAAAGTTTTCATTCACAGTTGAAAAGCTAAACAAATCAGTAAAATGAATATTATAATGCACTCAAACTTTAAAGAAACAGCTCTTATTTCATTTTCCCTTCAATAGAAAACGACCCGGAAAAACGGCTCCCGTACCAGTTCCTAAGGTGTCATCTCAATGCCAACCATGATGCGATTCGACCTGTCTTTCTGGGCACGTGCACTAAACCGGTTTTCCATGTTGACGGATGAAGAAAATAGACACCACAGCTCATACTACTTTATCAAAAATTCACGCAAAACGGTGCTTAAACACATTATTAATTTTGAAAGTTAAGTGGTAAGAGACTTCAATATATGCGACGTGTTTTGCGTGAACTTTTGATCAAGGAATATGTATCATGGTTGTTTAATTCTTACTGTATCCCGTAGACTAATGTTTTTTTCTTCCACGTTTGCCAACTTTGAAGCATTTCATTGAGTCCTGGATCTAGGTTTTACTAAGCCAACTCACCTTTCAAATTTAATGACCCTCGTCCTCTGAGGAGCATTAATTATTATTTAAGTATTTTCAGTTACCTCAAAGAGGCAAATGGTGAAATTTACTTTTGATTTTTTTTTATTGCAAAGTGCAACAGTACTTTTAGGGTGCTTATTGTTTTTGCGAAGGTGAAATCAAGTCTTTTTTGCTCTAATTTTGCTCAAACTCTTAAATTTAGATACTTAAAAGAAGTTCATGGACTGAGTTTGCGATGCATTTAGAAAATTTGTCACGTAGAGAATAGTTTTATTAAACCGATTGTTGGCCCTACGGGCATATTCAGGATATGATAGCTATTATTATTATGTACAGAACTTTCCCCTCCTCCCAGACTGTTAGTTGTTTAAAAATTGTTAATCTGTGTTATTGTTAGATTTTTTAGTCCAATCTCTGCTTTTAAAATAATGTTACGTCAATTTGAACAGTTTTTACAATGCCAAAGTCTCTAACGGACAAATTTGTACCTGTGAATTTAAAATTGAAAACAGTAGGCATTTAGGTTTTAGGTTCGGCCGCAAAGTTCAAATTTAACCGAACGCAAACTTTGGGGTCGGAAACTTTCTTGTTTTTGGAAAATTATGAAAATTCATTTTCCCACTCCACGATTCACACCGTCATCCTAAAAGATGTATTTCTTTCGAGTAATGAAATAAGTTGGGAGTAGTTGCCCTTTACCTAAAAACTCTAAACTCTCGAATATTTTTCAATTGGAAAAGAAACAGATCACAAATTACTCAGTACCTCAGAAAATTCGGAAATATTTATCCACAACTACCATTTAATTTTTGAATAATATTGCATTTTCCAAATCAGAGGGAAATTTTACATTACGCATCTATTTTTGACTTGCTACTTTTATAAGCAGAGTTTTAAAGACAGTTTAGCTCGTGTAGACCTGAAGTTTTCATTAATTTTCATTTTGAATGTTTTAGTGAAATTTATATGCATTCTTTCAATGTACAATAAAACTATAAATGTTGAAAATAAAGCCGAAGTTAAGTTTATAACGAAATTATTTTAAAGACAACTAATGTAAAATCAAGAATATTTTTGTAGACTAAAAACGTACCTATAACTGATGTTGTTCCACTTACTTAACTTTTTAACAAGTATAACATGTTTGTAGACTTACAAAACTGCCATGATTAATATGTAAAAACATTTTGAAACATCCAAATAATAAAACGTTGTCGTATTGAGTATACGTTTACATTCTTTTATCTCTGTCTATAAGACCCATGTGCTCCGGAACTATAGTTCGGTCACTGTCATAGATATCAAAAGTAATAACAATAAGTCTTCAAAGGAACCACGAAGTTTCTTTTATTCTCTCAGCTGACTTTTCATTGACAAAATCACGGTCATTTTTGACGGTGTTTAGAATGACATTTAGAGGTGAATTCTATATTCATATGTGATAAATAACTGAAAATACCTCTAATACTTGACAACATGTTCAAATTTATTTCTCAGACTTCAAGATGCAGAAGTCAGAACAATATACAACAAATTAAATTCTCAACAAAATGACCTAATGTGGTCGACGCAACGACGGAACATAAAACATTCGTTGCGAAAGACAAAAAATTGGAGGAAGCTGATTAAAACGGCAAATATGTATTTAGTAGCCTCCTCGCAGGAACTAGTGATCGTCAACAGTTTGACGAGGAAAGGAATATCTTCATGTTTGTGTCCATATGAGAAATAAATTCCCAGAATCCAAGGCGTCACCTGGAAACATAGATAAAAGGAATATTTTAAAAATTTGTAGAGAATTTGAAGAAAATTAAACTTGTAAGTATGTACATATTTTACTACTCTCTAAACACTCTTTCTACCGATCTTCACCACCCAAGTGGCACGGTGCAAGGGGAATATTGAGGTACAATTGCGATTTACTGCAATAAAATTGATTTTTTTTACGATGAAATTACCTATAATATTTTAATATCATTTTGTCAGTAAATTCTGGTTTTAAGCAATCAAAAAATGGTGTTCCATGTTTCCAAAAGATAGACAATATTTGGTGCAATGAAAACTCGCAATGAATTTCAATTAGCTGTGTGCCTTCAATGAACAGTTACGCAAAATACACAACACCGCGATGCGGTAGCAGTAATTGGACTACATTTTGCAATTAGGAACTAAAAACTCCGGCCCGGTTTAGAAACAACGTATATGCCATTAGTTTCCCTTTGCACATGAATGTTTTTTCAGATGAGCCAAAATTTATAGTTCCAAATTGCAAAATGCAGTCCAATTTTACCACGTAATTACCATGTATTCCAATCTACGATACTTGCGCAGTCGATAACCACAAAAATCACATGAATCGGCCCTGTAGAGTGGTAGAAGAGACTGACGAAAAATGAAAAATTTAAGGGGCAAGAGAGCTTGAGCTTACTCTGTCATGCTGAGAAAAATCGCCGGATCAACCTTCAGAGTTGCCATGTTTCTTCCAATAAAATTCGAATTTACTGGGGAAACCGTAAATATTTGTCTTCATATTTTTTTCGACAATTTGGTTCACGATTCAATCTAAAATATCTACAAATTTCAAGGACAAAATAAGCATGACATTCTCTGAAAAGTCATGTTTTATCCAGAGGAATTTTGCAACTCTCGAACGTTCGTACGGCGTTCTTCCTTAGAACAGGAGTAAAGTAATGAACTATGATAGAAACTCCGCAGCCCGTGACAAGATATACAATAAAAAACAATTTAAAAAGCGGGTGACAACATTCTCGCTTTGAAAGGTACAGCCAGGTACTATTTTAGATTTTTTACCATTTTTCTTTTTCGGTCATAACAACATTCTCGCTTTGAAAGGTACAGCCAGGTACTATTTTAGATTTTTTTACTGTTTTTCTTTTTCTTCATCCAACTGAGGATGGCTACGGTGGCGTGGCGTGCTTTGCGATATATTGATTGGTCGACCATTTAAACCTATGGAAAAGTATCGATAAACAGGGTGTTCGCAGTGAACACTTTAATAATCGATTACTTACCACAGTTTCAAATCGGTAAATATCGATAGATCACAAAGCACGCCACGCCACTGGATGGCTAAGTTTTCAGCCGAAACGTTTTAGTTTTATTTGTAAAATTTTAGTGTTGTTACCCGCTTTTTAAATTGCTTTTTTATTGTACAGTAGTGAACGTGACTCACTTGAAATCATGTCGGCGTGCAGCAGTTTTCCGTTTTCCCGAAGACGCCCCAACAATGTTTCCAGCTGGCGACGGTGGCTTCCTTGTGAACTTTCCAGCAATCGTCGTGAGCCCCATGAGTGTGACAGTCGGTCCATTTGCACCACGCGTTGACCGAATGAAGCCCAGCCAGGCACACGACGACACAGAGCACAAGCAGAACTGATTTCAAACTCATTTTGAATTAGTTTTTCCTCCAACAGAGGATCGTCCTCCGTATATATAGAGAACTCGGCAAGAGGCGCGACGCAGCATCAGCATATCATCAATCCTCTGATTTAAGGACGTAACTATACTTCGAGATGAGCCCTGACGTTCCTTTAACTTATTGCTTGCTAGGGCTCAAGTGGGATTGGAGTTGCGCTGTTACGTAGGAGGAGCAGTATCTCGCTCGCGATGCCGTGCCTCCCAGCCTTCGGAGTGGGGATGGGGAATACCACCAGTCGTTAACATTTCCACATGGGGTTTTCTAATATTTTGTTATACATCCACAATAAAAAATATCTTCAGAGTGGGACCGAAGTAAAATTTTATCAGACTCAAGTCTTTCTATTCGTCTTTACCCTAGTCCTCCCGGTCGTTTTTCTCCACGAAAACTCCCAAGCCGGGCCTGCCAGGACCGTATCCGAATTACATACTCTTGGCATGTTTTAAAGCTATTTCTATACATATTAGTGACATTTCAGTACAGATCCTATACTGTTGATAAAAATTTACAAAAGGGGTTGGCAGGTCCTAAATTTGCCTTACCAAAGCAGGTTATGCAACCATCTCTACTTTCTTCCATTGATGATCGCATATTCTGCTTTAATTTTAGTGACGATAATTTTAGAATTTATGGAACGTAAAAATGAAGTAAGTTTTGACAAATGGTTGGTCTGGAAGTAAATGCAGTAAAATGTATAATAAAATGGCGGATAAAAAAACTTTATTTTTACAAAATTGTAACAACAAGAGAAAAATAGTTTATGGGGTAGGCACGAATAAATTACTCCTGTGACTCGATATTATGAGTGTAATTCATCGCAAGAATGAATTAGAGAACGCATCCTCACAACATTTATAGAAGAATGGCCAAGCGATATGGATATAGAATAGAATAAAAAAACTTCTTGTGCTTTTCAAGTTTTCCATAGGAGACAGTATGCCCCCAACCAAACTCAAGGCTAACCTGAACTCAATTTGTTTGGGAATTACAGGTGGTTTTCTCCTGCTTAACACTTCCCTTCCGTAATGGGGAAAAGACGAATGAAAGCAAAACAGGAAAATATCATCAAAAATAAAACGTAATAGAAACTGGGCATTAGAATGTAAAATGCATGTGAAGCTTCCACTCTTTTCACTGATCCCATAGTCCTTCATATTATAAACCTTCTAAAATATATAAGGAATTAGCCCGGAAAACGTATAGAGTTAAGAGAGTGATCTATTTTTATTTTCACGAAATAATGAAAAAGTGATGACATAAATGACATTTGGCTTACTGTTTTTTTTAGAAAATGATTCTTTCCCTCACAAAATCACGCTAAAATGGTACTTACAGCCAAAAAAAAAAAAAAAAAGATAAGAGGTTTTAATGTTTATGTACCTAAATACAACAAAATGTTGGAAAGAATTCTAAATGAAAAAAATTAAAAGCTTTGTTTCAACCAATAACCACTAAGCAATACTCAATCTGCAAAACCTACAAAAAAAAAAAAAGATATGAAAACAATACATTAAAAATCATCATGACCAGGGAGTCAAAGAAAAAATTCTGATCTGATTCCGAAACATTACAGTGTCTCAAGAGAAATGAACTGAACCATTCGCTTCGTAATATTTTGTGACCATCATGCGGCAACACTGTCTTCCGATGATGCAGGCCAACGTATCGCCAATATTTTTGTTACGTTTTCCTCATGGCATTCACAAGAGAAGATTAAACACTATTTGCAACATTTGAAAAACTAATTGTAAGTTCATCTCAACAACGTGGGAAGTGTCTCGCGTACTTCCCCGCTTCCGAAAGTTTTTGCGTTCATTCGAGCGGCCGCTCGGGCCCGGTGGCTGGTGGGGAATCCCATCATATCTTATCCTCTCTCTTTCCCCACCTTTTTTTCCACTCGTAAAAAAATTTGAGTCGCGCGCCAACTGATTCACGTGACTTCGATCCACCAGTCAGTCGCGATTTGCTTGGATGCTTGTATAATCTGACGAACGCTGGATAATTGAAATTTTTAATAGATCACTAAATTGAGTACGAAATTGGACTACATTTGGACTACAATCGGACAATGGACCGCATTTGGACTACATTTTGCAATTCAGAACTACAAAGTCTGGTTTTGTTTAGAAACAACGTATGTACCATTAATTTCCCTATGCACCCAAGGGTTTTTACGGATGAGCCAGAAATTTTAGTTCCCGATTGCGAAATGTTGTCCACTATATAATTCCTTATAGAAGTTTCGCGTAAAATATGATGGACGGGGCATTATAAACCTGGGTACCTTTTTTGGGGGGGAGGGGGGGTATCACTTCATTTTTCATCAGATATTTGCTTTAAATCTTCCGGAAAATGATTACTAATGTTTTCAGAAAATACCAACGCCATCCACGATCTCACAGTGTAGATCTATTAAATTTAACAACACAAAACGATCCCTTAACTCCTAAAGTGGCTTCAGTTCACTCGTCAAGTATCGCTGCTTTCACGCAATGCAGGATTGCGTGAAAGCAAATTGAAGGCGTTTTCTCTCTTATTTTTTACTGTTAGTTCCTGGGTTTACGGGTGATTTCACGATTACGAGAATAGTTGAGCCGTGAAACGCTGTGAAAAAAATTTGCACGAATTTTGATTAAATTTTATTATGTTATTCTGTGGGCGTTGAACGTTATTTCTCCACTTCTCCAGCTATGACATACGAAATATGAATTTGGTACCACGTTATGGGCGAGTGAAATGTCGGAGTAACGGAGTCTGGCTTTCCACGCAGGAGATCTTACCCTGCATATTACATACCCCTTGAAATGAAGGCGCTTTGTATTTCTTACTTCTCCCTGTAGGTTTGGGCCGAGGAAAATCACAGAATGTATTTGGCATAAGATGTTTAAGTAATTTAGAATTTCTTCAGTTACAAAAAAAGCGAATATGTTGAGTTTTCATTCCTTAATACCATTTGGTAGGAGCATTTCATTGTTTTGGGTGTGACAAGTGAACTCAACTAAAAATGTAAAATATTCACTCCTGAACGTAGGATGTCAGAATTAAAAGTGACAGAAAGGAACTTTGCTGTTTGAGTATTTGACGCTGATTTTCATTGAATGATTTTCATTGGTATGTGTTACAACCTGTGCTAAAAGCTTCGATCTAAATCTTTCATATTTTTCTTCTTCTTTTTTCCCCCATTCATTTAGAAAAACCTACAAAAATTAAAACCTTGCATTCCTGGTGAGATCACAGAATTTTGTAACTTATCAACATTTATTGATGGAACTCTATATCTCCCAAATTGAATCAGTAAGAGCGAAAACACGTCAACTCGAAAAAATGAAAATAATGAAGACACACACAAAACTGCATAGTGCGTGAAGAATATAGTCTAAGAAAAAGATTTTTGGTGACAAAAGGCAAGTACTTAATGACACTTTAAAGGTCCAGGTTGGAACAGATGCGCTAACTTCAATGAACTTCATGTAAATTAATTGTCTCAAATGAAAATTGAGCATTTTCGAGTTACCGAGTTGGTGTGTTTTCGTTCTCACTGATTCAATTTATATAGACCTATAAGAAAGGGATATTTGAACCAACCTTCTTTTCAATTTTAGCAACTTAGATTACATTGTTGCATTCTCTTCTTTCAAGGAGACATATAACTTAAAACTTCCACTTTTTCAGAAATATTTCGTAAACATTTGGCAGGATTTTCTCCATTTTTTTCTTTCTCTCTTTCTTTTTTTATATATCTTTATTACTCTACTAAATGTTGAATTTTTTTCCTGAAAATTTTCTAACCTTTTTTGTCTGAGAAAAAGAAAAGAAAGAAAGAAAAATTTTCTGTAGCATGGTATAATTCTACATGTGCGTTTTCTGGCATTTTGCAGAAAAACTGGAGAGTTCATTTCCTGACTAGTAATTAGACTGCATTTTATTGTCTCAGAGACATTTTTATAGACCCTTACTCTTTCAAGGGCCGTACTTTGAAAATAAAACGATAGATTTCATTGTTGGGCATTAGATCTCTTTTGAGAACTTCAGACATTTAAGAATTAGGGAAAAACCCTGAAATAAACAAAAAATCCTACTCTTTGAGAGAAAAATATAGAGTAGAATAGAATAGAATAGAATAGAATAGAATAGAATAGAATAGAATGGATACTTTATTTACATCGTGGGTAGGATTTTTACAGAGGGGGATAGGTTGTGTGCTTATTCACATCCGTGGGAGATTTCTTCGTTAAATTACTATTATCTTCAAATTTACATGATATTCCCATGACAATTATCTTCAAAATTACATCTTGTTTATTCATACATTAATTGCCAACTTTGGCTAGCTAAGCTGCGCAGAACATATAGTATTGAATCATATTATGTACATATAGATAGAGAAGAATATAAATAATTTCTTTGGGTTTTCTTTAAGTTTTTTGGAAACTTTATCTTCGACGTTGTTATCAATAATTTAGGAAAAATATTCGTTAATAAAATCAGGTCTCGGTGGGATTCAGAGTATGGAATACTTATTCATCAAAGATTCCAAGATAAATAATAAACATGAAAAAAGGCTGTGGTAGAATTCAGATAAAGCACAATTTATGTGGGAACTGCACTGAAAAAGCATCTTAGCGCAGGTATCTTGTTAGCCGCAAATCCTTGATATTGACATTCGGAGTCTATTTCGACATGGTGAAGTGAGCTCAGCATGTGTCCTTCAACACCATCAGATATATCTGTAAACAGAAATTTTAAAAAAAAATTCAAAATTTTTGCATTTTAAAATCTCATCACAAATAGATTTTCTGCAGTGCAAAGAAAATTAACATGAGAGGCGGCATTTAGTGCCGTCGGTTTGTTTTTATCTGACGTTCTCACTTAATACAATTACCGTAAAAACATTGCGAGGTTCCTCGAGTTATGCAATAGTCAGTAAATCACATGGATTACATACTTTTGGTGGTATCGAATTTCATGCCCATAATTTTGCTAAATTTTTAGTCATTTATTAATGGAGTTCCGTGGTTTTGTACTATGGACATCAATATTTAAAGATTTGGAAATGATGTCATCAATGGAGATGTTGCATGTGTGAGGAATTTGCGATTCGACCATCGATTCTTGTGTAAAAGTTGGCTAGAAACACGATGATGCCTCTGGTTTTCTCTGAAATCAACTCCCAAGCTCAAAAAAAGCTCTCAAGTTGAGGCCAAAATGGAGGGGATATCCCACGCTATCCTGAGAGTCCACGTCTACATCAAGACGAACTCTCCATGCAAAAATAGGGAGGAAATACATTAGCAGGGTTGCCGTGTTTTCAGTTTTAGAGTCCCCAAATAAAGTGGCAGCCCTATGGAGAGTTTGTCTTGTTGTTGTAGAGGTGGACTCTCAGGATAGCGTGGGATATTCCCTCCATTTTGACCTCAACTTGAGAGCTTTTTTTGAGCTTGGAAGTTGATTTCAGAGAAATCCAGAGGCACCATCGTGTTTCTCGCGAACTTTTACTTCAGAATCAGTAGTCAGATCGCAAATTCCTCACACATGTAACATCTCCATTGATTATAATTTGTAACAAAGAACTACCATTTCCCACTCATAGGTTAAAGTGCCTATATTCGCAGGAAAAGTAATGGATTTTATGCGTTGTTGCTAAAAAAAGCTGGGGTAGAATAACTGTCCCTTTTTGCAAAATCTGGTCAAAATATGCCCACTTTAAGCCGTAACGGACGAGAGAGAACGTTGAATGCATTGTCGTGCGAGTCAAAGGAACAGTAAAGTACGGTCGTTGTACGATAATATGATGAGCAGTTTTCATGCTCAACTCTACGTATTAAAAAATCAACCATTTATTCATTCTACTTGATAACCAGGTCAGACGCTGACATTGACCGTCAGAACTGGTTTTACTTTTGCAATATTACGCAACATCAACTCACGTCTCACCATCGATGCCGCATGCCGTGCGACCAAACATACTTCAAAAGCGCGGCGCCAGACTCCCGATCTTACGAGTTCAATGACTGCATATGTTATCATTCAGTTTCAGAAAGGCACTTGCGATACTTCTTTTTGCAAATGCTTCGCAAAATGGTTTCATGAATAGAATTAGAAAAACTTTTTTAAAATATCTTTTTGAGTGGTAACAAATCTTAAATGGACCTTTAGTTAACAACATGAGAAGGAGGAATCTAAAACTATTAGTACAGAGGACGAAAAAAAAAAAAAAAAAATTTGTTCCTCCCCCCCCCAAAAAAAAAAAAAAAAAATTAAAAAGCAGGGCTTTTCGAGCAACCAATAGTTTATTTTTAGCTGCAAAAACAATAAATTTGTTATTGCAAATTACTGCCAGAGACTGGAAAAGAGCTTGCGGTAGCTCAAAAACACTCTGCATTTTTTGTGTGTTGGGTGTGTTTGTTTTGTTTTTTTCTTCTTTCCATTTTAGCTTGATTTACTCATACTACTAGTTTTTACCGTCACATACCCCTATGTTTGGACCATAGAAATTCAGGATTACCTATTTGAACCAGACATCGCAATGTTTGAATAAGAACATACGGCGAAAAGATGAGATCCGAATTAAGATACCCTATGGTTATATTAAGGTTTGTTTTAATCTAACAAATACTTTCAAATTGTAAGTATGCATACACTATAAACATGGTTCTTTGGGGGAAAAACTTAGTTTGTGAAGAAATTTAATCCATAATTTTTATTTTTATTTGACCTTTTCGAATAATTTTAAATTTACCAATTTTTTTTAACAACGTTCAAACATTTTATTTACAAATTTATAACGTGTTTTTTTCAGATGTTTGTACCTAATAAGAGCGTTAATTAATTTTAATTGAAAGTAGGTACGAATTTTGACGGTGTTAGTCGGCAATCATACATATAACTCGTTTGCGGTATCTGAACATTTCCGTCTCCATGTTATTTGTGTAAATAAGAACAAATTGAAATCATTCTTTGAAGTTTATGCAGAATTTTCTTCACACAGAGAAGAAAAATCACGGCAGTTTTAAAGAATTGCTGTTGAGTAGTTTTCCGTTTAAAAAATAAAGTATGACAGGAAGTCTGCAACGTCGCAAAACGAGATATGTGATTACCGACATACACCGTCGATAATACTTCTTACGATTTATGTCTGATGTGAATATTTATCATGGTTAATTACTGCGGGCATGTCAAATAAAAAACAAACAAAAGCGACTCACAATTTAAGGCTATGTCGGCGTGCAGCAATTTTCTTTTTTGCCAAAAATACCCCAACAATGTTTCCAACTGGCGACGGTGGCTGTGCGGTGAACTTGGTGGCAGTCATTATGAGCGCCGTGTGTGTGACAATCGGTCCATTTGCACCATGCGTCGACCGAATGCAGCCCGACAAGGCACACGACAATGCAGAGAACGATAAACACTGATTTGAAACCCATTTTAGTGGTGTCTTCACTTGGTTACTGACCAAGTAGGTTCCCGTGCACTTGCATTTATATCAATTGTAACATTGATATTCTTTAGGGTATTTTTGCTGCTCGTGTATTTTCCCGGGCAAGGCTTCCTCTGCGTGGAGCGGATGGGAAATTACACCGATCGCACAGAGCATCGTTCTCGGAAGAAGGTCGCCCGTCGCGCCGCGCATCATATGCCAAATTGCATCGAGTTCATGCAGTGCTTTGAATATTGATGATGAAGGAATGAACCAGTGGCGTGGCGTGCTTTGCGATGTATCGATTGATCTGCCATTTAAACCTATGGAAAAGGATCGATAAACAGGGTGTTCGCAATGAACGCCTTGATAATCGATTCTTTACCGCAGCTTCTAATGGGGAAGTATCGATAATAATAATCGATCGTTCACGCCTCGCCACTAAAATAAACGTGACACGAGTCTTTAAAACTGTCAAAGTTTCCTGGTAAATCAATTTCAATATTAAGTTTTTGATGTGCTGGATATTTTAATCATGTTTAAAATAGTTTTAAAAAATGTAAAATTCAAAAATTTTAATGTTTCATGGATTGGATATGCACTTTCAGTAATATAAATTTGCAAAAGTGAAGTAAGTGAAGTGAAGTGAAGTTTTTTTTTTTTTTTTTTTTTTTTTTTTTTAAGTATATTTCTATATTTAAAAGTATATTTTTTTGGTGGTAGCCTTGATCTAAGTTAGCCCGTGTGGTTCACAATCCCAAAAGCTTGTGTTGTTGATAAAACTAACACACAAACACAAGCCCTGCCGATAGGGCCTTGTCTTGCCATCATTACTTTGTCTCTGATCAAGATTCCGTGTATCGTCCTGCCAAAATGTTTGTGTTCATTTTTTTTTTTTTTTTTTTTTTTTTTTTTTTTTTTTTTTTTTTTTTTTTTTTTTTTTTTTTTTTTATAGGAATCATCACCTCTTAAAGGCAGTAATAGATGAAATCATTTAGTGGATCCTTTCTTGTTCTGATGACACTTTTTTGTGTGAATAAAGTGGTCACCGCTAAGCAATTTTTTTTTTTCTTTTTTTTTTGCCTTCAATTTTGTACTTTAATTGTTTATTACTAGTATCGATAAAGGAAACCAAAAATCCTCACGGTATTACGTTAAGGTTGCCATTTTTCGTCTCAGAGCGACGTGCGATATATCGCATCTATTCGTTCCATAATTTCAACTACTTTTCATTTTTTCGAATTTTGAGATCGCACCTCCGTTGTCATGAGACTAAAGAATTCGTGTATCAAATTTAACAAAGAAATTCAACGTATTAAACACAGGGTTTTTTTAGAGGAAAAATATCGCATTCGATACTGATATCAAAACTGCACTCGAATGCTATATATTTCCTCTGAAAAAACTCTGCCTTCATTACGTTGAATTTCCTTGTCAAATTTGGTACATAAATTCTTCTGTCTCATGACAACAGAGGTGCGATCTCAAGATTCGAAAAAAATGAAAAGTAGCTGAAATTATGGAACGAATTGATGCGATATATCGAACGCCGCTCTGACACAAAAAATGCAATCATTCGAAAAACATGTATTGCATCGTGATGAAAACGAAAGTTGACTTACGAACTCACCTTAAGTCGGTGTGCAGCAATTCTCTGTTTTTCCGAATCCTCCCCAACAGTGCTTCCAGCTAGCTACCGTGGCTGTGGGATGGATCTTCCAGCAATCATTATGAGCCCCGTGAGTGTGACAATCCGTCCATTTGCACCACGCATTCACCGAGTTAAACCCGGCGAGACACAAAACGACGCAAACCGCAAACAATACTGATTTAAAACTCATCTTAGAGGTGACCACTTACTGATTTAATCTCTCCTCTTCAAATGTATTTATATTCAAAACTTTTGGATTCATCAGGTCGTTAACTCGAGTCTCGCGTATTTTCCCGCCATCGTCTGTCGCAGTAAGCGGGTCGGATTAACAGCCATCAATGCTACGTGTGAGAAGGTTTCTGGGTCAGAAACTTTGCCAAAACAGTTAATAAATAACTGGCATGTCGTTGTTCGTTGATCTCCTGCGGTCTGGTGGCCGACGTAAATGAGATGACTGACCGAGGGATCCCAGCCGTGTTGATTTCGGCGGGTTAGTGTGGCGTAAACCCGTTCAAAGGTCGAAACGATGTTTCACACAACATTAAAATTACAACCACATGAAAAAAATGAATCGGCGATTTAATAATTCAAAAATTTGACGTCCGCAAAGCATGACAGAAATCTTTCTTTACCCCCCTCTTCCCTCCTCCCCTCTCAGCCCCTCCTCAGACAGCGAAAGCGTTTAAATTAATGTGCTAAACTTCATTGCTTCTCGTGAGTTATATTTTTCACTTTTAATCTTCTTTGAGAAGGGCGCATTCATGATTTTTGTTTCTTATGTGCGCAATTCAATGCATTTCTTTCAGCATATAAAAGAAAATAACTATGTGATGGAAGTACCTGAATTTTCTGTGAACTTTTGTGAAATTTTTTTTTCTGTGTGAGATAGTATCTTTTTCTTTAAAGTCAAAATATAAGGGGAGAAAAACACGAATTTCAGATCAATAAAACGCTGACCACTGAGCGCTTCCAAATACCTGCGTAAAAAGCTTCTTGTTTATTTAAAGGTCATTTCAAATACCAAATAATCTTAGAGGATCGGAGTTTCAATTTTATACTATCAAACAGCTATTTTAATTCTTTTAATAAGAGAAGAAAGGACGAAACAAAGAAGAAGTAAGTAGTTTTCATAATTATTATTATTATAATTTGTAACAACTGAAACGTTTAACAAAATATATAATATAGAATTTCCACAAATTTTCTTGGTTGTGTTTCATCACGGTTGACATCAAATGCAGACGAAGTTTAAAACAAGCAAAAATGTGGTAACTTATACGACATCAAAATATTCTTATTACTTTACAAACAGTTAAATTATAGGATATTTAATCAAAATGATAACAATGTTTGGTAACAAAACATAGAGTGATTTGGTAATTAAAAGTAGTTTTTCTTCGTTTATACAAGGTATTGATGGTGATAAAAAAGAACAAATGCCGTGGAAATGTCTTTGATGACATTTCTTTAGTTTGACAATTTTTGTTTCTTGCACTAGGCTACAATCCTTCGTCCGTATAAGAACACATGCAACTCTCACCATCTTTGTGCAGTTTTTCTGAATTTTTTCCCGTATGAAGTTTTTCAACGGTTCTCTTTGAGATGAAGATCTATTGAGCATATTAATCTCTCATGGTCTGAAGCCTGCATCAGGCTCTTTACACATTAGTGTTTCATTTTAGACCTTGGAGGTTTTTCTTTTCTGTTTCTTCTTTTTATCACCGAGACGGAAGTTAACTTTTCAAGTCCTACTCCCCCCCCCCNCCCAATGCAGTCACTAGGAAATGCTGGATAAAGTTTATCTTTAAAAAAAATTCCTGATAGTGACAATGCAATTTTAAAAGTAAGCTATTCATTTTTACAGAATTTATTCGTATTTTTCAATAAAATTTAGTTTTTCAAAGAAAATGATAGAGAGACTATAAAAAGAATTAATGTGAAGGATAATCTCTAGTGTTCATACAGTATCATCTTATGGGTGACGAGCAATAAATTAATCGGTTTGATTTTTTTATGTAGGTTAAACTGACAATTGGACCGAGTTTAACAGAAAGGAACCAAGCCACATCAGCTATTGCCAAATTTAACTGGACAATTAAATTTTTTACGATAGAATTTTTGTGCGGATTCCTTTAAAATTTTTAGGGGATTTGCCTCAAACTATGGGGAATTTTCACTGAAATTTGCACAAAAATCCGCACAACCGTTTTCATGTGAAAAATTAAATCGTTCAATTAAATTTGGCAATAGCTGATGTGGCTTGGTTCCTTTCTGTTTAACTCGGTCCAATTGTTCGGGGGTCTCATATTCATTTCTCGTCAATGTTATGATTACAAGATATATTACCCTGGAACTTCTCAATTGATAAGATTAAATCCAGATCAACTTCAAAATTTAAGAAACAAAAAAACAAAAACTCAAAAACGAGCCAAACCAAAAACAGTAGAATTTCAAGCACAGTTTTCGCATCGTCAGTAGATTATTTTTACTTAAATTGATAGGATATCTATACGTTAACAAAATTATACTGATACTTAGTTTTCAATGATAATCATAATGACGATAAAAATAATGTTTGGATTAGTGGCATCTATTTACAAAAAGCAAAAAATGCAACAGTAAGAACATCTTGGCACTTCCAATTTAAATTTGATGCTAAATAATCAAAAGAGACAAAAAATTTGCGTCAGATCATATTACGGCACACAATAAGTTAAATACGACATAGTAAAATACAAGTAAGGTTAATATTTAAATGATTCGCCTGAAAACGGTGGGCCCAAAATTTTAATAGGGGAGTTTTTAAAAAAGGGGAATTTAGTGATATAAAAAAGACAATCCGACGATTGAGCCCTGCAGAGTATAAAGAATATTTTTTATTTAAAGATTAAGTATAGGTAGATTTTGGGAGTTAACTCCTTTAGGACAAAATAGGAATTTTCGTAAAGTAACATTATTTTCGGAGAAGTGGCCATTGGAAGCGATGGTCTCTCAAAATTAGATCAAATATAATTTTTCTAACTTTGTGGCAAAATTAATCTGAACGGTTCTAGAAATAATATCGAGTGGCTCTCTAAATGTTATGATATACATTTAGGGGACCAAATAAGACGAAAGTTAATTTATGCAAGTTACTGGCAAAAAATTTAAACAGAGTTTTAGAAGTACTTTATGCCTATTGAGCAGCCAAAAGTAGTTTTAAGGTTTAACACTCCTTCGATGCTTTCTACTCTATGAGAATTTCCTCTTTGTAAATATCAAAAGTAAATTTCACGCTCGAATTTACCCATCAGGTGACCGAGCTGCATCCTTTTTGATCCTCATGAACTGCCACGCCTTTTTAGATATAGCAGTTCTCTCCCAATATTAGTGCATTTTCAGCTCTCAAAACAAGGGATTTTGAAAAAAATTTCACTTGAATTTTTTTTTCCTGCCTCAAATATAACTCCTGATATTTTTTTGTGGCTATTCGCCAATCGCCCTTTATTTTGTTACAGAAACGTGTAAAAGACGCAAACAAGTCCCCGTTCCTTCCGTCGACGGATCTCATGATTCAACTTCAGTGGCGTAGCGTGCTTTGCGATATATCGATTGATCTGCCATTTAAACCCATGGAAAAGGATCGATAAATAGAGCGTTCGCAGCGAACGCCTTAATAATCGATTCTTTACCATAGCTTCAAATGGAGGAATTATCGATAATCCATCATTCACGCCATTCAACACTTTAGTAATTGCAACTCTATGCCTAAGTACAAGCCGATGACATAGAGTAGTTTCTACCCGGCACTATGAGAAAAATGTTGAGGAACTGATCGTTGCCATTGCTATAAATTTTATTTCTCGTCTTTTTTCATTGCTGCTGCAAAGTTTCTCTTTTCAATTGATGCTTCTTAAACATATGCTTAGCAAGAAATAGGATTTAAATGCAAAAGAATGCAAATGATGTAGTAAGACATCAGAATTTTTGTGCCCGTCAATGTGATGGGTCATGAAATTCATTTATTGAATACAATTTGTTGGTTCAAGGAGGTTGAAAGCTAAACTTCATTTAAAAAGAGGAGGATTCAATTTCACGGTAAAATACCAGGCTTGGCAGGCATAATCGGTCACTTTAATGAGTTACCTGGTGACGATATTCTGTGAAAAAGCACAGAGAAAAGAAACCTAGAGGTTTTTATGACGGCAGCACCGCAATCGCACCAAAGGCAATGCTAACACACACCATCCTCCCCTTAAAGAAGGGTAAAAGTTCAGGGCAAGATCCACCATCATGCGTCTGCCTCTAATCTGAGTTGCTCCTTCCTTGAGGATGGGAATTTCAGTCGTTAAAAGTATATGTGTCCAATTTTTGCATTGGTTCGTTAATCTACTAAAAAATCTAAGGGAAAAATCGAAAAGAAAATGCGCAAAATTCCGCAAAAGGTGATTTTTCTTATCAATTAGGGCGATGAGAAGGATCCGTCCTTAGTATTATGATAGAAACAGCATCAAACCATGGACAATTTAGAGCTTTGATTTGATTGCCATCTAGATTTTCTAAGACCTGTCTACCCGATTGTTCTACAAAAACGACAAAATGAAAAATAAATCATAAATTCAAACTCGTGCAATCGGATGTTATTTTACTACTCACACACTGTCTGACGTTAATGAAAGCATATAATCAGAATCTTGATTTAGTTTGTCAGTGATAATTATTATATTGGTCAATTGTGCGATTATACTTAAAATAAAACAAAACTTAATGAGAATGGAATGAAAATGTTGCGACAAAATAGACTAGAAGAAACATGCAATAAGCAATAACTTAACCAAATACCTTACTTCTACAAGTTAAATATAGTTCGACCATCACAATTTACCTTTGGAATAGTTAAGTTATAACACGCAGATCATCAAATTGTGTTTTTCAGAAAGTGCATCATTACCTACTGTCAACGTGATCCGAATGGCATTGCTAGCACAAATTCTACTCAATTGTTTGTGCTTGTTGTATGTGAAACAGACCGATTATTGGAGTTATACCCTCGACCCCTTAACTAGTTATGAACTGTAAAATACAAAGACGTCTTGCCAAATTAACTTTGAGTGAACGCTATGAAGCAATAATTACGTTCTCGTAATACCATATTTCATTTTCCTGCTAGTCTATAATGCCAGTAAACTTCCGCCTTAAGGCCTAGGTACAGCAAGCGTTACTTGAGTTCCTCTAGTGCCACCTTCAAGAAAATATTTCCTGCTCTTACTGAGCGAATCATCTTTTCATGGCTAAAAATCGGCGAAAAACTATTTTCAAGGTTCAAGGGAAATAGGTTTGCAGCACAAAAGAGACACGGTCAACTGAATAAACCTGTATTAGCAGGTAAAATTGCACAAAAATAACGTTGAGCACATATAAAATGTCTAAAATCCACTCCTTGATGCAAGGTTTGCGTAGAATTTGCCAAATTTCCTCTTTAAGTTAGGAATTTGTTTTTCTTGGCCGCCGATGTCCATGGTAAAAATGAATGACGATCGTATATCGACGGTGAAACTACCAAACCACGTTTCTCGTTTGCGGTGTTTAAAAATCTACGCTCGCATTTTATTTTTTTGAAGTAGACCAAATCAATATCATTCTTTGAAATTTTCACAGAATTTTCTCCGCACGAAGAGGAAAAATCACAGAAATTTTCAAGACTGGACGTTGAGTAGTTTTTCATTTAAAAAATAAAGTATGACAGGAAGTCTGCGACGTCGCAAACCGAGATACGTGGTTTGGTAGTTTCACCGTCGATATAATCTTCAGAGGTACGAAAAAATCATCAAGAGCCTGAATTTTAGATACCTCTAATGTGCTCAAAGTGAGTTATGCGCAATTTTATAGCAGGAAAAAGTACATTCAACCAACCGTACTGGCGTGCTAAGGAGGACCACGGTATGAAAATTCTATGGTTGCCAGATTTCGCGTGATAAAAATTGCACTTTGGAAGTTTCTTTCCTTGAAGTTCTCAGACATTTTAGATTCAATCGCGAATAAAATCTTATCGAAAATCGGAGAAAAATATTTACAAATGTCCCTAAAAATTCCTACATTATGAAGAGAAATTTGGCAACACCTGAGAGCGCATACGGCGTTCTTCCTTAGCACGGCAATGGATTTTTAATGCGAAACAGACCCATTAAAAATTGCTGCTGCACCTCAGCGTGCGAGTGCGCGGTATTCCATTCTCATTGATTCAAATCGGGCAGTGTACAGTGGCGATTTTGCAAGTTGGCAAGACAGTTTTTCCTCCATTTAAATCGATTTAAAAAATCGATTTTAGGTGAGACAGGCATCACCAAGAATCGATTGTTTTACATACATTTAAATGGAGGAAAAACAGTGTTGCCAACTTTCAAGAATCGCCACTGGCAGTGTGTACATGGACCCGGAGACCACGTTCCTGGCCAAATGATTTGGCACAGGCGTAACTGAAATGCACGCTGGTAAACAGAAGATGAGCGAATTTATTTGCGACAAATAAATTATGTACTCTCGCTTGAAGGTCACGTCATACATGACGCCCTCCTCCTCAGCTAGACGGGCGCTACCTCGTGACAAACCTCCATGTAGTCGGGATGGTGCATGATGGCTTTGATTAAGTCTTTTAAAATCGTGTAACGCGGGAAGATTGGGTACATTTTCGAGCTCACGTACTCAGACTGAAAAAAAGAGAAATTACATTGATAATTTGTAGAAAAGTCATGCTGAATATGTTTATCTACGTTACCATACGCATTTACTCGAGTGCGTGAAAAGAACACCTCAAAGAGCGCCGAATGGACCACTAGACAAGGCACGAATTACAGCATTCGTGGTTTCGCACTTTAGTCATCGATATGTAAGTGTTTATAATGAGTATTAGTCAAATGGAAAAAATACAAATGACGTTTTTGTATAAATCAAAAGACCGGTACATAAAAGCTTCAAAAATAGGTATACTAATAAATCCTATAGAAAGAATCAAACGTCAAGTTGAAAAGGGAAAAAAAAATATTTTCAACACAGCTAAAGACAGAAGAGATGTAATCGAGAGTCGATATTTAAATAACTTTTCTCCTAAATTTGAGTGAAACCTCATTGGCAGCATAAAGCGGGACATTGCAAGTTCACGCATCGCGCCATAGCGCCTTCAATTTTGCAGCTGCAACACGGACATCCATGAAGAACGAATAGTTGTATCTCTGCGCCGTTATCATCGCGCGTTCTTTCCCTTGAACTACTTTAATGTTGTGTTGGTTCCGTTTGTCTTATTTCGTCGTTCCTCTGAAGTAGGTGCATCCCCTTTTTCACTTGAGCCGTGTTGTCTAAATGACACCGCATACTTTTCAAGGTTGCCGTTGCAATTAATTATTTACCATTAATAAATGTTCCAGAATCCAATATTAACGCGGTGTTTAATATAAGCCGTTATTATCGGCAGTGACGACCAATAAATTGTTTTTATTACCACGAATTTTTCTCAGTGTTTATGGAGAAAGTTGTGGGCGTTCTAAGGGTTAAACGCCAACTATTTAATTATAAAACGTCCCTGGAAACGATTCCTGCACATTCATCAAAAGTAAGTATATAACTTCGACGTTCTAATAGAATGCATTGTGAGCCAGTGCACTAGAAAAAAAATTACTTGACTTAACCAGAGATTTTCTTGAATATCTTTTGAATCGAGAAGAAAAATTCAAGGAGAATATTCTTTGAAGTTAGCAGGAAACTGCTTGACTGAAGAAATTTTATTATTGCTTCCTGGGCCACTCTTTTTGACAAAAAATCCAAGAACACCTCCGCTGGAATCAAGTCAATCCTTTTTCTAGTTTAAATTTCGAGGCATTCTGTTTAATTCATGAATTGCATAGAACAGCATGTCCTCTTGTGATACCATCGTATGATTTCAGTCACACCACATCAAAAAATGAAAAAAAAAAATTGAAGAATAAAAAATTTAAGCATGCTGAGCGTCATCCATTAGGTCACGTTCGCAGCTTAGGCAAAAATTGGCCTAAAGTGACCTAAATCTTTTCTTTTAGATTATCATGGGATCCGAGGGTTGTTTGTCGCATGGTAACCTCGCAACAATTAATTAGGTGTGTGACAGCTCGAAAGATTTCTCAAGTAGTTTAGTGATATTTCTGGGCAAAAGATTACCTTTAGTTTTCTTATTAAGTTCCTTAAGCCGGTGTACTTTTTTAACAGTCTATACAGATCGTTGGTCATTTGAGTATTCTCCGCCTCAATTTGAGCTGTTGTCATGTCTGGAACAAGGAAATACACGTGAAAACTTTTTATTAAATAACCGATGAAAGATTGCATATTACAACAGGATGCTGCACATGATAAATGACGAAAATTTTTAGGCTGCGGTCATCGTTTTGCCGGTGGCAGAAGAGCATGACTAAAAGTTTAAATAAGTCTTGCTGTGTTTAAAATAGTTGCACTTTCTGTGTGGTGCGAGTAGAGATTTAAATAATCCTAGTAATCTTTCCCTAGTAATTCTGAGTAGGCAGAGTGGCAAAATGACAGTTGCCAGCCGAATAACGCCATCCTATTTTAAAAGATCTGGTGCGGCCAAAATAGCAAAAATATTAGCACTGTACAGAAAAAAAACTCACGATCACGAGTGATTAAAAAAAATAATTTAAACATTACGATAAAGAGCAATATTGCGATGCCGCAGGAATTCCGGAAATTGGTATTTGCGAATTGGAGTTCCAAACTGTGTCTCAATTTGCGGCCTCAGCTTTTTTGCTGTTGTAAAAGTTCCCTAAAATTAAAAAAAAATGGTTACCTTGAAGTCTCTCCAGGCGTTCTTTCTTCTTTTCTTCCTCCTCGGCAAGTTTTGCAGCCGTTTTCACACCCTCTCCAGATTTCTGAGTTTTCTCCATAATCGTGCATGCTCGCAAAACAAAAGCGGGCACGGTCTCCTGTTTCTCTTGCCGAGGAATCTCCACCAGTGTCCAGTACTGCGTCTCTAATCGTATTACTTCCTATAAATAAAATATCCATATTTACAGATTAATCAAATAAAAAGAGAGCTTAACACTCAATAGGGCTGATGTTAGAAAAATTAAAAGTAATTACGAAAATATGCTCTCAGTCTTTTCAATATCATTTGAAATGATTATTTTGAATCTTTGCTGAGTGATAAGCAACTGGTGCATTCTGCCGTGCTATGGATAACACCGTACGAATATTCGAGAGTTGCCAAATTTCCCCGGATATAATACATGTATTTTTGACGAAATTTAAGCATATTCTTCCTTAAAATTTTCAGATATTTTAGATTAAATTGCGAACAAAATAGTCTGAAAAATTGGAAGAAAAATATTTACAATTTCCACAATAAATTCGTTTTTTTATCGATGGAAATTTGGCAACGCCTGGAGGTCCATACGGCGTTCTTCCATGGCACGGCAGCATAATTAGAGAACTTTTAATCCTTGCGATCCATTCAAATCTTTAAAGATATATACACCGTACTAATTTTTTTAAAGTGCATATTTTCTCTCCATGCTGTAATTTTTTGGGGGAAAAGAGGGGGTATAGAATGAGGGGGAACTATCAAGATTGTGCGACTTTCTTGATATTTAGGGGTGTGAAATATACAGAGCTCCAATTGAGTTAACATGAGCTTGCAGTATCGTGATAATAGCGGCAGTGTGAATGCAATATCGCTCTTTACTTTACTTTTGTTTGATTTAAAAATCATAATTACTAACATTGGTTGCGGGTAACTTTGCCTCGGATGATTAAATTTTTCCATCGATCTTTCCGCCTTCGAGCCACTAAAGTCAGTCAACAATTCAAGAATTTATGAGCAACATTACTTATTTATTTACAGCTGAACTTTTCTTCGTTTAATAAACACAATACTTGCTCGAGGCGAAACTTTGCCTTTGAATCCTTCTTTATGAACACCCTGAAATATTAAATACCATCGGTGCGGAAGTATCTGGGAAAAACCTGAGCCAAGCAATCTGGACTCACTTTATATTTTAGAGGACTCTTCTATTTCATAAGACATAGTTGGTAATAAGAGTGGAGAAAACGTTGTGAACACCGTGAGCTATAAAATTAATCCAATTTCCCGACTCTAAAATAAAACTCAAAACCCCTTCAAATTCTACTAAAAAGACGTTTGAGTGCTTCTTCTACAAAATATAAGTTCACAATCAACACATATATTTGGACACCGTTTGTGCAAAAAATGCCAACTCAGGGTGCATGGTTGGCCTAAAAAATGAATGTGTATTCCTAAATAACCCCCAAATAGCTTGTATTCCAGTGCACTCCGGACCTAATCAAAAAATGTAAATAAATGGTCAGAATAATTCCAGGACCTCGTGCTATATTACTTGCAAAATTTCAAAAATTCCACGAATAATTAATTCTTGGGGGGGGGGGGAGAAACGATCATTTTGGTTTGAAATTTTTACAGTATGTTCAAATAAGATACCTACGAGTATAAAGTTACCCCTCGCCCCCCTAAGATCTCTAAGAATAAATTATGCCATCATGCCATACATTTTGGCCTCTACGTTTTTACGAGAGGTACACAGCTTAGGCTTGTGTCTCTCAAAAGTCGGGACCCAGAGTTAATATATGCCTCAGAGGGTTAAGTGCTGATTTATAAGTAACGCACCATAGTATGAGTAATTAGAGAGATAAATGGATCGCAATTATAGCAAAAAGAAACCAGCTTGATTCCAGATTCATAAAAATGCTGCTTCTTCATAACAAATTACTATCAAAAAAATCTCTCAGAATAGCCGATAGTTTTTGCTTCTCACCAAAAATTGTTAATTTTAAGGAAATACAATTGTGTAAATTTTCATCCTGTACGTATATTGAGTATTTTTAAAACGATAGAGGACGTTGCAAAATTTTGAAAACACTGTAATAGCGCAGCGGGCTGATTATAGAAATTGATAGACAAAGCGATGGACAAAGAAGACAGATCAAAAATAAAGCTATCTTATTGGTAGGAGCGAGTCTTTTCAATGGACAAAGGGGGTAAGTACATAATAGACTAACCAACGGACCCTGCAGCCAGTCCATCATTTTCCCCCTTTGTCTATAGCAGCCACCCGTTTCGACCAGGCTCGCTCCATGCTTCCAATGCCTCCTTAGTCTATAGCTTTGTCTATCAATTTCAGTAATCAGCTCGCTGGTTCCTTTCCACTAATAATGTGATCCAAATAAAATGGTTCACGGTAAATGAGCATGGTTTTCGGGCGCTATTAGGCGGATAGGGAGCGGTAGTTTTGACGGGGAACAGGGAAAAATTAACGTGTATGAGAAAGGGAGGAAAAAGAGCGGGAAACTCACCTTAATCATTACTTTGAGTAAAGTGTACCTCTGGAAGACATTACGTGTTGATTTACTCTCGCCGTATTTGGCCATTAGACCGACGAGGGATTTTTTCGCTATGTCGTACGACTCCTCCAGACGCACACGGACCGCCCGGAACCGCTCGTTCATCTCAATCAATTCCTCCTTCGTGAGACCGCCTGCCAACAAATATATTCATATTACTCTCGTAATCCAGACACTAAACATCAAAAACTAGACCCACTTGTCGCCTTGGCCCCCAACACACTCGCAGAGGACATGATAATCGCCACAATGGTGAACGTTATGTGTCACATGTGGGTGGTTTGAAGCGGAAACTTTACACATTTTCGTTGACCTGTAAGTCGTTAATACCTGTGACAATTATGAGTTATGCAAACGTGCAAGTAATTAAACTCAAATTTCATATTTTACGATCACGTCTCCTCGACGGTACTGCCGGTCCCAAGCCCGGGCTAAGGAGGAGGGTTCGGAGGTAAGGCTAGCAACCTGCCTCCGGTAAAAAGACCCGTTTTTGCTCATAGGAGAAATAAAAAGCCTCGGTATCAGAATAGAAAGGACTTTCGACCCAAAGATTTAAGGATAACGGACAAATGGACAAAAGCGGCTCAAAAATTGAGAATTGCGTCTTGGAATGTGACATCATTAACAAATAAGGAGCAAGAAGTTATTATTGAATTGGATGGAAAGAAGATCGACATCTGTGCGCTGAGTGAGACCAAGAGGAAAGGAGCTGGAAGTGTAATGAGGGGCAACTACCTGCTCATATATAAAGGCGTCGACAAGAGTGAAAGAGCACACGCCGGCGTTGGAATGTTGGTTCATAAGAACCTCATTGATAATATCATTGATATCGATTATATAAGCGAAAGGATCCTAAAAGTTATCATCTACTTAGGCCGAGATAAATTAAATCTGATATCAATTTACGCGCCAGATACGAGTAGAGGGAAGCCAGAGCGAGATACGTTTTATGAGTCTTTACAAAAAGTCATCAACACAATACCAGCTCGGGAAAAGTTAGTCATGATGGGTGACTGGAATGCTCGTGTTGGGAATAATGTTGTACCTGGGATCAAAAATAGATTCAATGAGCCCACCTTGAATGACAGCGGTGAGGAACTCATTGAGTTTTGCGCCATAAATGAATTGAGGATTAATAACACGTTTTTTGATCACCCGTTACAACAGAAAATTACCTGGACCAATCGGAGAGGCCAAGCATCGATGATTGATTTCATCATCAGTAATCGACATGTACATCCACAGCAGATCCTAGATGTTCGCACCTTGTCATCCGCAGATGCTGGTACTCAGCACGGCTTAGTGTTATGCGAACTAAGAATCGATTTCAGTCAGCGAAAACAGCAACCGGTGATTTTCGAAAAACTTTGTGTTGAAAAGATGTCCGACCCCAGCATCAGGAGCTTCTATCGCTCCAGGCTGCATGGCAAGTTGGAGAGTGTGCCAGATGAAGATTTGACAGCAAATGAGCTGTGGCGGCATGTAAAATCGAAGGTGCTGGAAGCAGCTGGTGAGGCAGTAGGATGGCGAAAAGTAAACAGAAATCGCACAGATACCCGGACACCCTGGTTTTGTGATGAAGTCAGAGATGCTGCAAGGTCTAAGAAGGAAGCATTTTTACAGTATAAATCTAATCCCACTCCAGAAGAATATGAAAAGTACAAAAGGATCCGCAATTCGATGAACCAGAGAATTAGGAAAATTAAAGAAGGCTATTGGGAAAGTTACACCAAAGGAATGGAGCATGACTTTTATGGTGCGCAACGGAAAATGTGGAATGCTCTTCGAAATCAGCGGAAAGAAATCTGTGAATTTAGGCAGGCCCATCACATTCGGAAAGAAGAATGGCACACTTATTTTACTGAACTGTACAAAGATGCAGATGACGACATCCAAGAGAGGATTGATTACCAGAACGAAGATAATGTGACCGTGTCATTGGAGATGGTGACCAAAGCCATTCACAGATTAAAGCTCAGAAAATCCCCTGGACCAGATGGCATCGGAAATGAATTCGTTAAATATGGTGGAAAAGTCCTAGCTGTGTGGATGCATCGTCTGTTCCAAAAAATTTTGGAAGAAAAGAAAATGCCGGAAGACTGGAAGGATAGTTTCACAATTCCCATCTTCAAGAAAGGTGACAAATTTGTACCTGAAAATTATCGCGGTATTACGCTCCTAAACACGTGCTCCAAGCTATTTACATCCGTTCTCAAAGATATTTTGGAGCAGATTGTGCATATGGCCGAGGAACAGCAAGGGTTTAGGAAAAACAGAGGCACCAACGATGCCATATTCATGGTACGACAATTGGCAGAGAAATCCATCGAGTTCAACAAGCCTTTATTTTTATGTTTTGTGGATTTGGAGAAGGCATTCGACCGCGTACGGAGAACAGATGTCTTGAGGATACTTAACGAGCGGAATGTTCCCAGGTGTCTCATCGAGATAGTTGCCGACTTGAACTCGAACACCAAGACACGGATAGTCACCAGGGAGGGAACCTCTGATGTAGTCATTGTAAACAGAGGAGTAAGACAAGGGGACTCCCTCAGCTCTTTTCTATTCAATTTGTTAATGAATAAGCTAATCGATGCAGTTAGATTTAAGAGAGGTTATCGGCTAGGCAATTCGAATATTAATATAATCTGTTATGCAGACGATGCTGTTTTAGTAGCAAGCTCCGAGGATGATCTGCAAAGAATGCTCCATTCCTTCAACCTGGCTGCAGAGGTATTCAACATGAAAGTGTCGGCTAAAAAAACAAAAAGTATGGTCATCAGCAAAAATCCAATACGATGTAAGCTAGTCGTGGACGGTACCGTAGTTGAACAAGTAATGCAGTTTAAGTACTTGGGCGCTTTAATAACGAGTGTGAAGGATTTAGGGACCGAGGTGCGGAGTCAGACAATCAAGGCAACTAGAGTAGCCGGATGCCTAAATGAAATGGTTTGGAGGAATAAGTACATGGCTAAAGAGAGCAAAGTTCGAGTTTATAAAACGGTTGTAAGACCTGTGCTGACTTACGCTGCGGAGACCCGAGCGGACACGAAGCGCACTAAACAACAGTTGCGGACCGTAGAAATGAAAGTCCTGAGGAAAATAGCAGGCTTTACGCTCCGAGATAGGCAGACCAACGAGTCAATTCGCGAAGAGTGCCAAATTCAAGATATTGCCAAATGGACCAAGATGCGCCGGAAAATGTGGTCGGAACATGTTGAGAGGATGGAGGGGGAAAGGCTTGCCAAGATTTGTATGGTAGGACGACCTCATAGCCAAAGGCAACCCGGACGACCGCCCAAGAGATGGGCACAGAGCTGCCTTTCATCCCCGGAGAATTAAGTGATCTCTCTCATCGGCATCATATTACTGTTTTAGAGGCTAGACAAACAGGGTCACGGCCCTAGTCAGAAGGCAGAAGAAGAAGAAGAAGGAAAAAAATTGTTAGGGGATAACCCCCTAAATTGTTGGCACTACCCCAATTTGTTGGATGTTACGGACAATTCCGACCAATTTTGGTAGTACCACAACTCAGGTGGGGATAGTCCCGCAGCATTTGGGTTATTAACCTAATGTATTGGAATACTACTGCAATTATTAATTGGGGTACTACAACAAATAATTGGAAATGTCCAAGTTCGGGCCTAACCTCTATCTCTTTTTTTCCCGTGGATTTCTTGCATCAGTGAGGAACTTCCGCAGTTACTAGTCTTTAGAATCACTGGACAATCAGAATTATTGTATACGGAATTGTGTGATGTCAAATTCAATGCTGATTTCGGCACCAGGCAAAGGTATGGTTGCGTTACCTAGATATGAGTAGCATTATCAGCAAATCAGCTGATTTCTGGCTGATTCAACCATGCCTCTGACAATTAGCGACTACCCTTCTAGCTAGCACAAACATGCAACCTGGAATATAGTGGGACATTTTTTTTATTTTACATTTTAAATTTTACCGCGTAATTATATACAATTTGTAAGTCGTTATCGATGACCTTGATCGATACACATCCTTGCTGAGCTAGGGAGATAGATTTCTAGATTGCTGAAGTTTAGTAATAGGTCAATGTCAATCGATAATGAAATAACGATCGACCCGCTGTAATGATTGTGAAAGTTTTGGTTTTCACCTTTGTTGGTAGAAAAAAAAAATCGTTTCTTGAGGACTCCAATTTCGAAAAATTTGACAACAATGACGCAAGGCGTCATCGTCGTCGGCTCTCGGCGGCTTACCTCAGCTCCAACCCCAGCGTGGATTGGCGCGGAAATGTTGCCTAATTGCGAGGGAAAGCAAGAAGATTTCCCGGTGTATCTTATTACAGTTGCAAAATACAACGCCACCCGATCGGCAACGGAAGACTCGGCCTCCTTGATGTGCACATTAATACTGAAGAGTTTTATCAATGCTGTCACTTCTCACGTATTCCAACCACGCGCCACACGAACTCTTTTCATATTTAACCAACTCTCCCTCCGCACACTAAACAATGTTGCCTCCTCACTCTATAAACTTCTCTCTAATTTTTAATGAAATCACCAGGGCGGCATGAAACGCAATAAGAAAGAAAATTTCACGAGACTGTGAGGTATTCCATTTATTTCAGGGGATAGAGTATGCAACCCGCACTCAAACATACAAAATGGTAGAAAGTCACAATTTTTACATTTTGCAAAACATGAAAAGGAACCGGTATTTTTCAATTTTCTTCCGTAAATTTCTGAAATTCCATGAAATATTTCACGTGAAATTTCAAGATTTTATTTTTCATGAAATTTTGCCACCCTGGAAATCACCCTTAATCCAATGAAAATTTCCCTAACAGTATAACCGAGTTTATTTCACAGGTATTTGGATGTGATTAAAAGACGAATAAAAGAAACGGAATGTCATGCAAAGTCGGAATGCATTTATTGAAATTATTCAATGTAATCATATGTTTTGATACTTGGTTTCAGGAAAATCTTCACTTGGTTACAAAAGTATGTTGGCTAGATACTTCGTTATGATTCCTTTTCGCGTGCGACTATATTCCGGTCTCCAGTTCCCACCGAAAAACTCAAAATTGAAATATATATTATCACCATCCTGAAGAGTCCATCCTTCTGTACATATAATGACCCAAAAACTGCCAAAGCATTCCAATCCAAACCGGATTCAATGAAGCTTTCAGCGTAGCAAGTAAAATCGTGTAGCTAGAAGAAATAGAAATTAAAAGTTTTTTCCCGCATTTCCGGAGCTCAAATTTTTCAGATAACAGCTAGTATAGCTTTGGGGTTTTGCTGCCTAGCAGGGAAATTTTTGGGCTTCTTTCTAACAATGTAATTTTTCGGATAATTTCAACGAAGTAACTAGACACCATTTGGGCTAACATGAGCAGCGGGCGCAAGTTCTTCCTCGGTGTTTTCCCAATCTTATTTCACTTGAATGCATACTTTAGCGTGATTCCCGTCAAAAATTCAAATTCTTATTTTTCGACCAATGACACTCGTCTGAAAAATGTCCTTCTGACTGAATTTTTCTCAAGACTGCGGTCTCGTCTCCCGCAAACGGGTACATTTGTATAGCAATTCCCAAAAGTAATATGGCAACAGTGAGCTGGAAGTTTCCTCAACCCTTCCTTTGCAGACGTCGGGCTCTTCCGACCGAACTTGGTGTAGCACCGAGACTATTACACTGAAATAGATTCAATGCGGGCCAACGAAACAAGTCACCGTAACGCCAACAGCAGTACCTCCAGTTACTTCAATACTCCTTTATTGTTCTAAACAACGTGATCCCGACTCTTCGGGGAACATTTTGCAGACAAAAAGTCACCGATGATGCTACGCAAAGCTTGCTTTTCGTTTTTGAGTCGCGTATGGAGGAGTCACGAAACAACTGTGAGGGGGTATCAGAAGTGACGATTCTTGCAACATTATAACACAACATAATTCGGGAAAAGGCTGCAATACAAAAGGTATATGAATACCGCGACGTTTCTTCGTACCACAAATTTATTTTTAACCGACTAAAAATGTTTAACGAAAAGGTGAAATAATGAATTATGAGTCCATGGCCACTCTTACTACGAGATTGAGATAATTGAAGAAATAAACAGACTCGGCTGAAATTTCAAGGGCATAATTCCAGAAAATCGTTGGGAAATTTTTAAAATTACTACTCAGCCTGAAAGTGGATCTACGAAAACCACACCAACAAATTGAATTCAACATTTTGTTTACTCACTTGCAGTTCCTTCATCTTTGACGTCTTGAACAATTCTCCGAACACTTTGGGTAAATTTGCCGACCAGATTAGTGCCAGCTGAAACACATCAATAAAAACAAGTTCCATCAGTAATCATTCGGAATTCCCAAAAAGCAGTACCCTGATGTTCAACAAAATAATATGTCAGGAAATATACAAGATAATCTAGAGAAAATAACACCTGAAATTCAAGTTAAGTTGGCAAAATGTTCCGTTTATTCACTCACAAATTCTGAAGTTAAAGTGTTAAAATTATTACTTAATCGCAATTCAATATTTTATTTTAGCCACTCCAGGATTGTCGGCGATCTGGTGTAAGTTACGGGCAACCATCAAGTAGTGCTGCTAAAATTTGACTCTAAAATAAGTAAATGTTATCACGCTATCACGGTTCACATATTGAATTCTGACACTTAAACGGTCTATTAACGTGCTTTATTCTAGAACGTATGACCTTAAAAACCAGCTTTAAAAGTTCTAAATATTTAGGCATTGATATGTCATTCAGCCAAAGATTGCAAGTTAGCTGCAGGAGCCCTGAATATTCGGAACAATGGAGAATTTGCACGCAAATTTTTTATTGCTTCATCTGAAAGTGCTTAAAGAGCTGATTTCACAGTATTTTTTGTAATTTTTTTCTGACATGGGAAATGCTTTAAAAATAGATTTAAAAGAGAGGAGATGCACCGCCTAGTGACGTCATCAGGCGGCATTTCCCATTTAAACACATGTATTTTAGCAGAATCAGTTCTTTTGTCATTTCTCCTCTAATAATTGCTCAATTTATGAATGAAGGGTATCTCAGTGTTCAGTTCACTCAGTAGAATCCACTTAAACACGAAATTTATCAAATTTCAGACCCTTGCAAATTCTCCATTGTCTCTCCTGTCTCTCCCGATGATACAATACGCTGAAAACACTCCTTAAAGTACCCTTCAATTCCTCGCTGGGCAATTTCAGATACCGTCCGCGTTGCGCGTGTTGCATAATCACCTTTTAGAAGGCGCTCTCACAAGAGAAGAACACGCACTTGGTTAGAGAAACGAAATTTCATCAGAATGATGTCAATACAGTTGCGCACAGGCGCAGTCATCTGCCATGCGGTTGCTCTCCGTGCTCGAATTTTTCTTTTTCAGCCGAAAGCATAGTCGAGAGCGAGCCCAGGGAGGGGCCTGGCATCCTTCCTCTGTAATCATATATACGACGTATTCACGCTAAAAAAAGGGATCTTTCTGCCGTTTCCAAAACCAAACTACCTGTAAATGTTTCTCCTATCTCTACAAAATGCCGGTCATTGATTAGAAAAAAAAAAAACAACACAGAAGTCCGTCATAATGAAAACATGTGATGAACCTCCAAATAACAAACACACTGAAAAAAACATGTAATAGATTTTACTGTACTCTGACTCAGTGATACGAGTATGGTAATAAACAGTAGACTCCATGATAGCATTTACCGTATTATGGTAAGTTTTACCAGAGTTCTGGTGGATGATATTGTAATTCTGGTTATTTTCTCTAAATAATATCACCGCATAAAAAAACAAGTGGACTCATAGTAGATGTTACCATACTTTTTTTGCAGAGCAACCTCTGATTTTTAGTATAACTCTCTCACACCTCTAAATTAAGGTTTTGTGGCAAATTTAGGATGAAAAATTGTCACCTCACGTTGATTTTTTAGTGCATTTTCCAAAGTAATGCACTATTACCTTCTCTCTCATTGTGGGACCTTGAACTAGAACAATGTGGAGAGCATCAATCTCGATTTTTATGTCACGGGTATATTTTTATCTCAGATTTTCGAATAGCCCAATTTAGCGTTACGTACGTAGCAGCCCTGAACGCCCTCCTCTCGCTGTAACGTACCAGTAACGCAGGGTCAGACACCCCCCCCCCCGTTTTCAAAACCAAGCGTTACGTCTTTCGTCTCGAGTAACATGGACGGGAGCTGATTGGAACTTACTTTGTTTCACTCCGGTGGTTTTCGACGATTTTTAACAGAGCACCCGATGGATTTATTTTAACGTCTCTCGTTTTATCCATGCATTCACCTAGCTCACCTGGAGGGGAACTCCGGGAGATTGAGCAGTACTGCCGTGCTAAGGAAAAACGCCGTATGAACATTCGAGAGTCGCCAAATTGCTCCAGATAAAACGCTTATTATTGAAGAAAGTTATGCATACTTTTCCTTAAAATTGTCAGATATTTTAGACAAAATCGTGAACAAAATTTAAGGAAAAATATTTACAATTTTCTCAGTGAATTCGGTCCTTGAAGGAAATATGGCAACGTCTGAAAGCTTATACGGCTTTCTTCTTTAGCACGGCAGAGTAGTCTCACAATGCCACATACTACATAACACAAATTTTGGTTAGATTTCCACCAGCATTGGGTGATCATAACGCATCACTCATTAGCTCTATCATTACCCTTCGAATAAGGGAGGATTATAGTTGATCCCCGAAAGTAATTTTTACACCATTAGGAACCATTAGTGCGCGGAGTATGTATATTGTTTTGTCTGCGATGGCGGGAGCAACTTGTTTTTCGGTGAAATTCGTGGATCCGCGTCCCGACTCGAGCTAGATCCAAGTCCACCACTGAGCTAGCCGTTGAACATGTGCGCTAATCACTCCCTGTGCTCTAAAACGTATTAATTATCGTCGCTTCCCTGACGCAGGGGCGTGGCTCAATTTTCACGGGAACCCTGGGAAGCACATAGTTACATAGACAACAGGGTTCATCTTGAGTTGCAGTACGCTCTTTAGTGGAAAGAGCAATGTTAGGCCGCAATGCTTGGTAGGGCTTTGCTTTGGCCGCGTGACAGTCAGCGGTTACAGTTTCCAGCGGCGCAGTGACCCTTTTGACTGAGTCCAATATGTCACGGATGCCCTGAGTACACTCATTTTGAACTGTTGACTGATGCAGTCCGCCACTGCCGAAACTCCTCCTGCAAAGTAACTGGATACTCGGCTAAAATCCACCGAAGACTAGGGAGGGTCAATGTGATCCGGGAAAATTTAGTGCTATGGTAACGTAAACGGAAAAGTTCTTGGGAACAAGAAAATTCTTGGTAACAGGCAAGTGCTTGAAAAAAATGTAAATGTGCACCTGTGTGTTTCCTCACATTTACTTATGAATCACCCTGAAGTCCGATCCATGTTACCTCTTTCCACGGATTTATCATCTGATTAGAAGTTGACAAGCAGGCTAGGTGCCTGATTTTGAACAAGTGGTTAAGATTCTGCGCTTCATAATGTCCTACCAGAACCGAAAATGTTATCTGAGCTGCAAAAGTAATTCTAAAAGCCCTAGATTCTCCGGGAAAGAACGCTTAACGGTTTGCGATAACAAGAGAATAAATTTGACCAAAGTTGCGGTAGAACTTGCAAAGTCCATTTATCGATCAATCATTCGGTAACGAATCAACAATCGACCCGCAGGTGCTCGAAATCGCTTGAAAACGGCTCGCAAAACTCGGGGGAATCTGGACTAAATTTTGTGATTAGGAACTATAAATTCCAGCCCGGTTGAAAAACAACGTATGTGCCTTTCGTTTCCGTGTTTTTTCAGATGGGCCAGAATTTATAGCTCCAAATTGCAAAATGCAGTCTATCTCATCCCGGATCCGGCTCACTCTGCCTTGGGCTCCGTTCGATGAGTGTTGTGCTTGCTGCTCCGGGAGAGCCCTCGAAACGAGTGGATAGTGAACCCGAAACAAAGAACTCGTTCAGCGATCGATTGACAACAGGTACGGAGGGTCCGCGGATGCGATGGCTGGGCGGTGGATGCAACCGGGCAAGGAGCGTTGATAAAACGAAACCGCTATCCCTACCCTCCGAACGGAGAGCCTCAGATACAATAAAAAGCTCCTCTGGAACGTATAAAACGCTTTATCGCACGTTGGAGATGCACCCGTGTTCTCGTCCCGTGCTACGCGCTTCCTGTAATCGGCCTACGACGCCTAACACCAACGGATATGGCGTGTTAATCCACTCGTAAAACTCGCTTCAAGTTTCATTCGAAAAAAAAAAGAGATCGTGGATGTAAGTTTCTGTCCTAGGTTTGAATATGACGCTCTGCAGGGCTGAATGCATGCCTGGATTTTTAGTGGTTTTTGAATAGCTCCTTTACAACTTTAAACGAGAAACTATTCGTACTCCTGTGTGGATGGCGGTTGCGGCACGGAAAATTGAAGGCGTTTTTTTTTGGTTATGCACGGTTTACAGTACTCGTGAAGGTCCCGTACGATTTGTATGGTAGGCAGTGAAGGGAGGCGCGATGAGGTCAGCTGTTCAACAAACAACTATTCGTACTCCTGTATAGATGGCGGTTGCGGCACAAAAAATTGAAGGCGTTTTTTTTTGGTTATGCTTGGTTTACATTAATCGTGGAGGCTCTATACGGTTTGCATGGTAGGTTGCAAGGAAGGTTTGATGAGGTCTTAAACATGACATCATGAAAACTATAAATTTACTTACTTCGAAAAAGAATTAGTGCTTTTTGGGAGCAGATCTGTCCAAGAGTTTTAAATGATTTGCCATTATTTTAACAAAGAAAAAAAAAGAAAAAAAGAAAAAAAAGTATTTGCATTTGATTCCTTAGGTCAGTCAGTAATTTTTTCGATGGCGTTGTTACTGAGTGGCGCAGTCTGGGCTTCTGGAGCATGCTTCACACCCAGTGAGTCTAGCGTGATTTGAAGGTCCGGCAGAGCCCGGGGGATAATTCCGCCGGTCCGAAATCCAGCGAGTCGCTGCACTTTTCCTTTTATTAAGCTGAACTGGGAATCTTGCAGGGGTTCAGGATGGAGGCTCCCAGCTGAGCTTGAAGGGATGCAGATGCATTCGGATACTATATGTGACAATCCAACCAATTTGTGGGAACAGCTGGTTCGGGGCTCTCTCATTCCAATTTCGTGTAACCATGCCGTTGAATATCGAACACTTGTCAGTTGGAGCGGAGTTCCTCTCTCAGTCCTATTCCTCCAACTTATCTCGCTCGCTCCTCAATCTCATTGCCGACCCACAACCTGCGTTGTCAGCTCATATCCCG